AGGGGATGAGAACGTCAGGCACGTCGGCCTTCCGCTCCAGGGGGAAGACGGTGGTGTAGCGCGTGAAGTCGTCGACAAGCACTAGGAAGAAGCGCTCGCGACGCGGCCCATGGACCGGGGCTGGGCCCCAGACGTCCATGTGCAGAGTCTGCAGTGGTGCGGTGGTAGGGGGAAAAGAGGAGGAGTGAGGGGCACGGCGGAGCCGGCCCTCGACACAAGGCGTGCACGGTGGGGCGGGGGAGGAGGGAAACTCGGGGAACGAACCGGGGAGACCAAGGACGAGACCGTGCTGGGACATGTGACGCAGACGTGGGAGTGCAGGGTGACCAAGGCGGTGGTGCCAAAGGAGAGTCGGGTGAGTGAGGGACCGACAGGAGCACGCGGCTGCAACCTGGGTGGACGCAACTACCGGGGGGGAAGACCCAGCCGGGGACGGCGCGGTGTCAAGTGTGAACAGGCCGGACACCGGGTCCCGGGGGAAAGTGGTAAGGGGGGCACCAGTGGCGGCCTCGGTACAGACAGCATACCGCTCGTGACCAGGGAACGTAGTAGTGACGCCAAGGTGCTGGAGGCAGCCGACACCAACTAGGTTCCTGGAGAACGAGGGGATATGCAGACCTGTGAGAGTGCCCGAAGGAACCGCCGGACAGGGAAGGGAGGTGGAACTGCGGGCAACGACGGGACCACCGGAGGGGTCAGCAAGAGTAACTGCAGCGGGAACAGGCAGCGGCGTCAGCGTCGTGGAGTCGCGGAAGAAACACCGGGAGGCGCCAGAGTCCAAGGTGAAGGAAAGCGCAGCAGTCGCGCGAGGCAGCAGTGAAGCGGTGGAAGCACCAAGGTTAAGCAAAGCAGGAGATCCTACGCCTGACGCAGCAGGGGAGTCTACGCTAGGCACCGCTACACTAGGCAACACGGGGTAATAAGAGGGAAGCACACTAGAGTCATCAGCATACATCACATGCAAGGCCGCTACAATGGCATCCATGTCCAAGTCAAAAATCCTAATGCTACGCCTAAGCAAGCTGTGCCAGTCCGGGAGGTCGGGCGCCGGGCCAAAGCGCTGGCGGAACAGGTCGTCCAGGCGACGAAAACAGCGAGGAGTAGAATGACCGATCTTACCGCAAACGAAGCCGCGGCGAGGACCGGTCTGGATCTGGTACTGACAGGGCCCGCCTCCAGAACCACCACCCGGTGCACCACCACGCGCACGACCACCACCAGCTCCAGGCCACCCAGGTGGGAGAGTACTCGCCTGCCTCGTCTGCGGCGGCTGCTGCGGCTGCTGCGAAGGCTGCGGCTGCGGCGACTGCTGCTGCTGCGGCTGCTGCAACTGTGGAGGCAGCGGGGCAGATGGACCGGGCAGGGTCCCCACGTCCGCACCGGCACCGGACGACCCGCCTCCACCACTACCCCCACCCGCACCCCCGCCGCCTCCGCCGCTCCCAACCTTGGGGCGGCGGCCCTTCGCCGAGCGGGACTGCACTGCAGCAGCAGTCTCAGCCACAGCGACAGAGCCGTCGGAGAAGGTACACTGAGCGGGGGCACAACCCTGAAAGATAGGGACCGGTACTGTACCGCTCGCCAGGGCTATGGAGCGGTGACGAGTCTCTATGGCAGTCAGGGTGTCAACAAAGTCGGTGAGGGTGAGAGCAGCAGGGTGGATGCTAAGGAACTGGTCGCGGGCGGCGGCAAGGCGGTCAGGTAGGCGGGTGGCAAGGAGGTAGAGGGTAGAGGTCATGGGAGGCTGGTGGACTCTAAGCTGAGCATCAGTGCAGGCAGCGCGCCAGGCCTCATCTATCGAGCGCAGGTGGGCAGCGAGGTCAGAGACAGTGGGGAAAGACGCCAGGTCAGGAAAGAGCAGGGGAAGGATCAGGCGACCCACTGAGGCAGCAGGAGGGGTAGAATAGCGCTTGATGACAGCATCGAGGTAGGCCTGGGCGGTAGGAATGGTTCTAAAGCGAGGGCGCTCAGTGGGGGGGAGGGCATTGCTAATGGCGAGCTGGGCAAGGGCATCGCGGGAAAGCCAGACAGAGCGGGCAAGGGCAGCAGCGGCAGTGGACTCGCGCTCAGCGGGCGTGGGATCAGCGGGCAGCACAGCAGGGGGGTCAGGGCAGGGGAGCATACCGTCTAGGTGTGCAGAAAGCGGGTGGCCGTCCTGCCGCTGGCCAGTGAGGTGGCGGCGAAGGTCAGCCAACCACGCCTCGAACTCCAGAGGCTGACCCTCAACATCAAAACGAAGCTCAGCAGCCATGAGGGGCAGTGGAGGACAGTGCAGTGCGGTGCAGTGCGATGCAGTGCGGTGCAGTGCGGTCCAGTGCGGTGCAGTGCGATGCAGTGCGGTGCAGTGCGGTCCAGTGCGGTGCAGTGCGGTCAGTGCGATCCAGTGAGGTGCAATGCGGTGCAAGGCGGGGCAGGAAAGTGCAGGAGGGTGCAAAGTGGTGCGGGGAGCGGGGGACAGTACCAGGAAGTATGGAGGGCCGGGGCAGGTGCGTCGGGGCCGGGCAGGCACGACAAGGCCGGGCGGCGGCGACGGGGCCGGGCGGCTGCGACGGGGCCGGGCGGCGGCGACGGGGCCGGGCGGCAGCGACAAGGCCGGGCGGCTGCGACGTGGCCGGGCGGCTGCGACGGGGCCGGGCGGCTGCGACGGGGCCGGGCGGCAGGGACGAGGCCGGGCCGGACACAGCAGGGCCGGGCAGGGGCGACGGGGCCGGGCGGCTGCGACGTGGCCGGGCGGCTGCGACGTGGCCGGGCGGCTGCGACGGGGCCGGGCGGCTGCGACGGGGCCGGGCGGCGGCGACGGGGCCGGGCGGCGGCGACGGGGCCGGGCGGCAGGGACGGGGCCCGGGCAGGCCACAGCAGGGCCGGGCAGAGGCGACGGGGCCGGGCGGGCGAGCAGGGGCCGGGCAGGTGCGACAGGGGCCGGGCAGCCGCGACAGGGGCCGGGCGGGCGCCACGCGGCCGACAGGCCGCGACGGGGCCGAGCAGGGGCGACGGGGCCGAGCAGGGGCGACGGGGCCGAGCAGGGGCGACGGGGCCGAGCAGGGGCGACGGGGCCGAGCAGGGGCGACGGGGATGGGTAGGGGCGCGACGGGGCCTGGAGGGGCGTTACCAAGCCCAGGTAGGGGCGCGACGGGGCCTGGGGGGGAGCGCAATGGGGCCCAGGAGGGGCGCTACGGGGCCTGGGAGGAGCGCGACTGGGCTAGGGAGGGGCGCGACGGGGCCTGGGAGGAGCGCAATGGGGCCCAGGAGGGGCGCTACGGGGCCTGGGAGGAGCGCGACGGGGCCCTGGAGGGGCGCTACCAGGCCCTGGAAGGAGCGCGACGGGGCCTGGAGGGGCGCTACGAAGCCCTGAAAGGGGCGCGACGGGGCCTGGAGGGGCGCTACGAAGCCCTGGAAGGGGCGCGACGGGGCCTGGGAGGAGCGCAATGGGGCCCAGGAGGGGCGCTACGAGGCCTGGGAGGAGCGCGACGGGGCCCAGAAAGGGGCGCAACGGGGCCCAGGAAGGGGCGCGACGGGGCTAGGGAGGGTCGCGACGGGGCTAGGGAGGGTCGCGACGGGGCTAGGAGCACGACGGGGCCCAGCTAGGGGGCGAGCGGAAGCGTGAGGGGGGGGGAGGGGGGGGGGGGGATCCTACCTACGCGTGATACCATAACAAACAGAGAAATTAATGAATAGAGAGAGAGAGTACACAAACATATACCTAAATGTTGTACTCTCTAGAAGATAACCCTATACAGTCTATACAAGCATGATAACTAAACATGTTTGACACTCTAGGCTAGGATACTAGGCAGGAACAAGGCCGCCATGAATGTGGCGGCGGGGTTTAGCTAGGAGCTGGACGAGAGTGTCGAGAGAGAAGAGATTTGGATTAGGAAGAGAGAGGAGTACAAGGAGGGGTTTGTACCCCCTACAGAAAGGTTTAGTAACAACCTACCAAGCCTATATTAAATTATAACATATATAATTTGAACAGTATCACTAATTATTATTATGCTTATAATTCATGACATTTCCAATACAAGGTGTAAAGTATTCCGCTGAGTTTTACTTGTGGTTCCACCAACGCTAGATCCTGGCCACCCTAACCACTTGGTTCACTTTTATAAAATCGAAGGCGACCAACCAATTCTTCATTGAAGGCGACCATCCAAATTGATGGCGACCGTCCAAATTAAAGGTGATCATGTTCAATCTGAAATGCATCAAACTATGTGAGTATGTTTTGGAGTTTTGCAATTCATTGGGCGCTATCCTTATTATTCTTTTGCCTTAATTGTGCCCTCACACAAATCTCATGCCAGCACCACTTCTTATCAGTGCTCATAACGGAGAGGAAACTAACCAGGCCGACCAGGTCAGGCAGACCTCAGCTCCGTCGAGCCAGCTCCACCAACTTCTAAGCCAAACCTGGCCAGCAGCCTCCGAGCCACCAGCCACACTTTCCGTACCTCTCCCAAACCAGCCAGGTTGGCACACAGGCCACCCAAGCCAGGCAGGACTCCCTCCCTCGCACCTCCCCAACTTAATCTCAGAACCGATGTTCCCTGCAAAGAACCGTTTGGCAAACAAATTCACCGTTCCTTGTCGTACAAGCGCAGAGGAGAGGACTTCACTGGGCTCGTGAGGACTGGTGGTTAGGGCGTGGAACATACAACTGTTTTTCTGAAAGTTCGGACGATCAGAGTGGTAGAGTAAGTTTTAAAACTTTTTTGACGTAGTTAAGCTGGATATCTGCGTGGTACAGTGTGGTGAAAGTTCGGACGAAGGCTGTTCGGAACCGTACTGTCCCACGCCCTTAGATTAGAGCGTGTATCAAGAGCAAGAAAAAACGAGGACGTCACCCCACGTCCTAGCGCGGTACAGTGCGTTTTGTCACGTTAGAGAAGCTTCCTGTGTGTTCGGAAGCGGTGACTCGAAGTCACAAGTGCGACGTCGTACATTTCAGCTATTTGATACATCCACTTAGAAGGGACTGTTGAGAGCTCCACCACCACACTGCGGAGAAAGTAGGCGAGGAACGAACAGGGTCGTGATTTGAGTTGAGGGTTAGCGACACAGGCTGTCGAAAGAAGCAATGTCGGGGTGTGGTCACTATGGTTGCTTAGTCTGCGGTGGGAGTTCCCAATGTGAATTAGATTAGTTTTCGTCCCAACCAACTGCTTTACAGTTGGTAAACTTGGGTCCTCGGCTTCTTCACTGTAGACTAGAGTCCACAGTATCCACAGCCCATCACCGCATTTTTCACAGGGTCGTTCCTGACTCTTCCACTTACCTCCTCGGTTTCGTTGCCACATTCCTCGGCCCGCCTCTTTCCTCCTGGGTCATATTATCCTTTACTCCTCGGTTTTCATTCTTAGAAGTTATTGGAAGGAGAACGTCGCTGTCTTTAGCATTAGGACCCGCCGGAACGGGTGGCTACGACACGTGACGATTACTTACGATTCTTCTGACCCTCCCTTCCTATGGAATCGCATTCCCGGAAGAAGACAAATGGAAGGTCTTGACTGGTCCGTGCCGACCCCCTACATTTCATTAAACAGTAATTTTAAATCTTTCCGGTCATTCATTCTGTTTTTATCAGAAACGATGCCATTGAAATTTGTGATTTCAAGCTACCAGTGCCCCCTGCTCCCTTTTGTTAAATGCCAGTTTGTGGTCTCCCCTGCACAATGCATGCCGCATTTCGATTTCTTCATTCCCTATTCCGCCTAGACGGTCTCCGTCTGCTCTCCGTTTGCTTCCGTCTGCGTCCCGTCTAAATCTCCGTCATAGCAAGCTCCATGTGAAGTCAGCTGCTCATCCGTCCAGCATGCAATGCCTCCCCTTGCTCCCCCAAACACATCAGCACATTGCACCTGTCCCGTTCCCTTCCTATCCCCCGACTCCATAGCATTTTCCTGAGGCGCCTTTATAATTTTTTTAAGCGCCAAAAAAAAGAAGCTTCCGTTATCCCCCTACTCCATGCCATTTTCCTATCACCTCATGAGGCACCTAAGCTATCCTCAGGTCGAGTTGGTTGATTCTTGAGAATTCAAAAAAATCCAAGTCTTCTCCTCAGCCCTCGTTTTCTCAGTTCGTTTCTCCGCAGTTTGCTTCTCCTCAGCCTCTCTTCCCCTCAGCGCTGTTCTTCCTCTCCGTGCCCTAGGCTTATGTGCGTGCCCCCTCCCCATCGCCTCACAACCCTATTTCGGTCGCCACCCCCCTAACTCCTTTCCTCGTATACTCCCCTCTCCTCCCCTCCCCTCCCCTATTGCCGTTCGTCACCCTCTTTCCCTTCTTCTTTCCTCTTTCCGTTCTGTCCTCTTGCCCTTCCAACTCTAGCAGCCCGCTGTCTCCCCTACCGGAAAACCCCTTTCTTGTTGCCCTTGTCGCCCTGAAGCTGCTCTCCCTCTGGCGATACCGCACCCGCATTGTCCCCGCTACTGCCTGATTCCGGTTAGCTAAAGAGCGCGCTTCAGTTTCTTCTCGCCGTACACCGATCGTATCATCCGCCAGTTACCGCTCGCGCTCGTACCACGAGAACCGCCACCGCCACCGCCACCTCCACCTCCACCGCTCTTTACCCCGCCCCTCGGCCCCCACTCCCGTCGTCCTTCGCCCCCTCCACCCTCATTTTCTCCTCATCCGCCTCCGCACATTTCCTCATCGCCTCTCCAGCCGCCCAGCGCCAATAGCCGCTTGCAACACGCAGCGCCACAGCAGCCGGTAGACGCGGCTTACCCACCTGCGCTTAAACTCCCCCCGCGCCCGCCTGCCCTCCGCCTTCCCCCGCCTTCCCCCGCCTTCCCCCCGCCTTCCCCCCGCCTCCCCTCCGCCTCCCCCCCGCCCCCCAATGGACGACGAGGCGCGCGCGGAGCTGCAGCAGCTGCTAGACGCGGTGAACGGGCCGCAGCCGTGCGGCTACTGGTGGGCCGCGCGCCTGGTGCGCTCGCTCGTGCTCGCGCTCAACCAGTTCCGCGTGAAGGCGCAACGGGCCGCGCGCGCGCACGCACAGGGGCGGGGGACGCACGGGGAAGCGGGGGGCGCGCGCGAGAAGGGGGTGGGGGCGGGGGCGGGGGGGAGGAGAGGGGGGGAGGAGGAAGGGGAGGAGCTGCTTCTGTTCGGGCCTGGACTGGCTTCAGACGCCTCTTCGCTTGATAGTAGCCTGCAGGCTGTCGTCGCTGCAGGTGAGAGGAGAGGGGGCGGGAAGAGGGGAGAGAGGGGAGAGAGGGGAGAGAGGGGAGAGTGAGAGGGAATCGGGGAGAGAGAACGGGGTTGAGAGGGGAAGGGGCGGAGGGAGGGAGCACGAGGGGAACGGAAAATACAAGAATGTCAAAAGGAACAAAGGAGGACGTGTTGCGATGTGATGCAACGGATAGACGCCATGCTGAGCTGTCTAGGCGCCTCTAAAACAGACTCCTCAACGGATAGACGCCATGCTGAGCTGTCTAGGCGCCCCTAGAAGAGACTCCTCAACAGATAGACGCCATGCTGAGCTGTCTAAGCGCCTCTAGAACAGACTCCTCAACGGATAGACGCCATGCAATGCAAGCCTCGCCATGCCATTCCACGCCACCCACCCATCTCTCCACCCTTCCACCTTTCCCTACAACCATCTAACCTAACCAATCAGCCACCGATGCAAAGGCAGCGTTATCTCTCAACCTGTCTCATGTAAACACCTAATGCTGCATATCCACCCACCCTTCCATACGCTACACGCACTGCACTCCCTGCTCCCTGTCTCCCTGCTCCCTGTCGCCCTGCTCCCTGTCCCCCTGCTCCCTGTCCCCCTGCATTTTTCTTGTCCCCGTACCCTCCCTTCCGTTATCCCCGCTTCCCCACTTCCCCACTTCCCATGCCCCACTTCTCATTTCCCCTCTTCCTTAACCACGCCTGCTCACCCAACCTCCAACCATCCCCGCTCTTCCCATTCGGTCAACGCTAGACCAGTCATTTCCTACTCGTTTCCTAAAAGGCGCTAACGCCGCCCTTCCTCCTGTTCTCCAGACGCCTCCCCGCTCCCTCTCTCGTTCTGAGATGCCTCAATGCTTGTCCCCCGCTCTTCCTCACTCCCGTCCCAAATCGCTCCCCTCCCCCTCACGTTCCTACTCCCGCCCCCCATTCCCTCCAGCCCCACTCCCCTCAAACCCCTCACAAAACCAACCTCCCCACGTCCCCCCCCTTCCCCCCCCCCACCTCCTCTCCCTCCCCCAAGACGCCACCCCACCACCCACCCAAACCAGCGCGCGCGTTGATCCAGAGGGCAGGTGCACCACACTCTTACACGCCCTCACTCCCTTCCCAAGCCACCTCCCCTCGCATATCTATCCTCTCCCTCCCCTCTTTTCCCCCTTTTCCCCTCTCCACAACCCCCTTCCCCCCACACCCCCACACCCCCCCGCCCAAACCAGCGCGCGCGTTGATCCAAAGGGCAGGTCCAGACAATTTCCTTGCGCCCAACCTGCTCAAGTCGGAGTCGGAAGGCGAGTCTGACATCTGGGTCGTGGGCGCGTTCGCCTTCCTGCTGCTCTTCTCAGCACCACACTCCTACACGCCCTCACTCCCCTCCCAAGCCACCTCCCCTCACACATCTATCCTCTCCCCCCCTCTTTCCCCCCTTCTCCCCTCACCACAAACCCCTCCCCCCTCCTCCTCCCCCCTCCCCCCCCCCCCCTCCTCCCCTCCGCCCAAACCAGCGCGCGCGTTGATCCAAAGGGCAGGTCCGGACAACTTTCTCCCGCCCGACCTGCTCAAGTCGGAATCAGAGGGCGAGTCCGACGTCTGGGTCGTCGGCGCGCTCGCCTTCCTGCTGCTCTCTGGCCGCCCGCCCTACGACGTGGGCGCGCCGTCTCTCGCACTGTGCATCGCTAGGGAAGAGGGCTTTCTGGACCTCTTCTCCCCGCCCTGGGACGCCGTGCCACTGCCAGCCCGGCACCTCCTGGCACGGCTGCTGCGGCACGACTCGGCCAAACGAGCCACGCCCAACGAAGTGCTCAGTGAGTTCGCTGCTGCTCCTTGCCTTCCTCCTTGCTTTCCTTCCTGCTCTCTGTTCTCTCCCCCCCCTGGGACGCTGTGCCGTTGCTGGCCCGGCACCTCCTGGCGCGGCTCCTCTGGCTCGACTCGGCCAAACGGGCCACGCCCAATGAAGTGCTCAGTACGTTTCTGAGAGAGGTTTTGTTTCGAAAGACGAAGTACGCTCCTCGCTGCTGCTGCTGCTGCTGCTGCTGCTGCTGCTGCTGCTGCTGCTGCTGCTGCCAACCCTTTTTGCCAACCCTTTCTGCCAACCCTTTCTGCTGTGCTGTGCTGTGCTGTGCTGTGCCGTGCTGTGCCGTGCCGTGCCATGCTGTGCTGTGCTGTGCTGTGCTGTGCTGTGCTGTGCTGTGCCGTGCCGTGCCGTGCCGTGCCGTGCCGTGCTGTGCTGTGCTGTGCTGTGCTGTGCCGTGCCGTGCCGAGCCGTGGTGTGCTGTGCTGTGCTGTGCTGTGCTGTGCCGTGCCGTGGTGCATTGCATGTTCTCGTGGTGCACCTAATGTTTGGATCGGATTCCCACGACGCTAGTCGCTGCTGCCCGCCCTGTATGGTGCTGTGTTGCATCGATTCAGCTCACACGCACGCACGCACACACGCGCACAAACACCACTCAACCCCCCTCCCCTCCCCCACCCACTCCTATTTTTTCTTCCCCTCAACTGTCTCCACGCCCCACATACCCGTACCTATTCTCAAATCAACATGCCTTTCACTGCATCCGCCATCCCCAATCCTTCTCCCCTCTCCCGAACCCAACCCCCCCCCCCTCTCCCCCCTCCCCTCCCGAACCTCCATGTGTTCACCTCCAATCCTCTCCCAGGAAACGAGTGGCTGGTCCAGACCTGTGCGATTCCCGCCCCTCCACCCACAGCAGCGATGGCAGCAGGTTCGGCAGCAGCAGGTTCGGCAGCGGCATGCCCACCAGCAGCAGGCGTGGGAGCAGTAGAAAGCCTTTCCCCTTCATCACTGACCGCAGCACAAGAACCCTCCGCTGGTGATTTTCCAAGCAATGAAGATAGAGCAGGTGCCAGCAGGGACTCTGTGTGTGCTGGTGCAGGGACAGTGGAGAGAAGTTGGGCTAGGGGAGGTGGAGGGGGGGGGGAGGAAGGGGAGGCGGGAGAGGTGAGAGCGGTGAGAGAAGTGGGAGGAGGAACAGAGGCAGGAGGCCAGGTGGGGGAAAGAGCAGAGAGGAGGAGTGAAGAAGGGGCGGGGGTGGGTGCAGGGAGTGCGGTAGGGGCGGGAAGAGGGGAAGCAGAGGCTTGCGAAACAGTAGGTGGGATAGACAAGCAATCTGGTGCTGCGGCTGCTGTTTGTGGTGGTGGCGGCGGTGCTGCTGCTGCTGGTTCCGCTGCTGGTTCTACTGCTGTTGTTGGAAGTGGGGGTGGTGCTGGTCTTGCTGTGGCGGTTGAGTCGGCAGCTTTGTCCCTGGGTGATGGGGGGGAGTGGAGTCCCTTGAGCCCTGCTTTTGGTCCCATGTGGCACAAGCCACAGGACCCCCTCTCAGCAACCAGCAGCGGCAGCGGCAGCAGCATCAGCAGCAGCAGCAGCAGCAGCAGCGGCAGTGGCAGCGGCAGCAGCGGCAGCGGCAGCGGCGGCGGCGGCGGCGGTGGCGGCGGCGGCGGCAGCGGCAGCGGCAGCGGCAGCAGCAGCGGCAGCGGCAGCTGCAGCAGCAGCAGCAGCGGCAGCAGCAGCAGCACTGTTTCCTTTTCCTCTGCTACAGTCAATAGCAGGCGTAGCACCACTGTCAATGGATCGATCTCAGGAGAAGCACCCGCCCAGGAAAGCACACAGGGCACGAGAGATGCAGGGAGCTCGGTACACGCAGGGAGCACTGGCAACACTGGCAACACTGGCAGCACCGGCAGCACTGGCAGCACAGGTAGCCGAGGTAGCGTAGGGAGCACTGGAAACACAGGGCATGCAGTGAGCAGTGCACAGCCACCCACAGACACTCGTGCCTTTGAGTTCTCCCCTCCCAGGCAAACCCCCACCCAGCTCTCCCCCTCCCGCTCCAACCCCGGCCAATTCTCCACCCTTCCAGCACGCCTCTCCTCTCCACCCAACCACCCCCCACACCTCCCACCACCAGCCACTCCCCCCTCTCTCTCCCCCTCTCGTTTCCGCCTGCCAGCGACCGATAACCACCTGCCTTTCAGTCCCACCCGCCCCCCTCTTCCGTCCTCCTCCCCTGCCTCCTCCCCTTCCGCTCTCTCCAACCCGAGAAAGAGCCCCACAGGGAGGGATAGGCTTGCTCCGTCTGCCGCTAGGCCCCCACGAATGGGCGGAGGAGGGGGAGGAGGAGGGGGTGGGAGCTATGAGCTGGGTTCTCTTTCCAGTAGGCTGCATGTTAGCAGCAGTAGCAGCTGCGGCGGCGGTACTGGCAAGGCCCCCCCACCATACGCACGGAAGGGAGTGCGCTTTCAGGATCTAGAGGAAGGGGGGCATGGGGAAGGGAAAGAAGAGGGGGGGAGTAGAAGCGGGGGAAGGGGCGGAGGTGGGGGCGCGGGTCCGGGGGAGCGGGGGGGGGAGGAGGAAGAGGAGGAGGATGGGGAGTTCTGTGAAAAAAAGGATGTGGAGATGTCATCGGACTATGCTGCGGCGCTGGCGTCTGCCACTGCGAGAGTGGACAGGCAGCTGCTGCACTCGCTTAGAGGCAAGCCCAAGGGGTTTCCTGGGAACAAGGTGCTGGGGGGAGGGGGAGTGGGTGGTGGTGGAGGAGGAGGAGGAGGAGGAGGAGGAGGAGGAGGAGGGGAATTGGCAAGAAGAGAGACAGGTGCAGGGGAAGGTATTGGAGGATTGGTTGGGAAGAAATCGGGGGGAGAGGTTGTGGGAGGTCAAAGAGAGGGCGGGGAAAGACTAGAACAGAAACGGGAACCCGATCATCATCATCAGCAGCAGCGGCAGCAGCAGCAGCAGGAGGAGGAAGAGGAGGAGGGGGAGGAGCAGAGGGACGTATTAGACGTAGCCCAGTTGGTGCCACTGGTATCGGTGGGGGATCACACCGTGGACAACCTTCTAGGGAACTTTGCAGTGGAGCTGGCAGCAGACGAATTCCAATTCCAATTTCAAGACGAAGAGGCGGCAGACGAATTCACTGCAGTGAATCACTCAGAGGGAGCCACAGCAGCAGCAGCAGCAGGAGCAGCAGGAGGAGGAGGAGGAGGAGCAGGGCAGCAACCAGGCAGCAGCAGCAGCAGCAGCAGCAGCAGCAGCAGCAGCAGCAGCAGCAGCAGCAGCAGCAGCAGCAGCAGCAGCAGCAGCAATGCACACACTGGTGGGCACAGCGGCGGCAGAAACAGCAGAGCAGGCAGAAGGACAAGCGATGCAGCTCCCTTGAGCGGAGTTGATAACACTGATAGCAGTGGTGGTGGTGGTGGTGGCGGTGGATTCTCTTTAGACAACTGGCAGGCCAGCTTAGACTTGGACGAGTTGCAGGGACTAGAAGGAGGGGAGGCAGGGCCAGGAAAGGGAATAGACGGTAACAGCTCGGAAGCAGCAGGGTTAGGGAGAAGGAGAAGAGACGGGCGAGGGGGGGGAGGGGGTGGGGGAGGAGGAGGAGGGGGAGGAGGGGGAGGAGGGGGAGTGGGGGGCATTGGTCCTTTAGAGGTGCCGGATGGGGATGGGGAGGGAGCAGGAGCAGAGCCTGCGAACACAGATGGGCCGTTGGGGATTGAGCAGTCCATGATTGTGGATGGCTTGGGCCGGCGCTTGCTCAAGTCGCCAGTAGCTAGCACGCACCCCCGCAGAAGGCACGGCCGCTCATCCCATGTCTTCTGCTGACGATATCACTAATTCTTTCCTCTCTTGCCCTCTACTTTCTCTCTCTCTCTCTCTCTCTCTCTCTCTCTCTCTCTCTCTCTCTCTCTCTCTCTCTCTCTCTCTCTCTCTCTCTCTCCCTCTCTCTCTCTCTCTCTCTCTCTCTCTCTCTCTCTCTCTCTCTCTCTCTCTCTCTCTCTCTCTCTCTCTCTCTCTCTCTCTCTCTCTCTCTACCCCTCTCTCCCCCCCCTCCCCCTCTCTCTCCCTCCCTTGTTCGGCCTCTTTCGCCTTGTTGGGTTATACTCCGCCCAAGACGTCTGTTACTGCTGGTTGATTTGGGTGCAGGTGCTAGAAAATGTATGCCTCTCTCTTGCAAGCAGGCAAGTGAGAAATGGCAGTCTGCCCGGGAACACGGATTGCAGCTTTAGTAAGACTGCTGACGGTTGAGCCTCCACAATGGGAGGCTAAATGTACTGTAGATCCTTCCTGAGGGCACTCGCACATCGCATGCCATTTGAATATTTTGTGGGAATGATTTTTCATCTCACTCGAGAACGGAGTAGCATGGTACATGATGTAGATCACATTTCCCTGCATGTGGAGACATCATTCTGATATACATGAATTATAGAATTGTCATTTTGAGGTGTTCTGGTTTAGCCCCCCACGATTTCGATGTGTGGTTGAATTGAAAGGTAGTGCTTCAGATAGTTTGCTCTGATCTGGTCTGGTCTGGAGGTCCATTCCCACGTGACGAGCAGGCGAGTGGTTGCGTCAGCAACACCTCATGGGTGTGGGGAAGGGAAGCTGGCAGAATTATTGACAGCCGTAATGACAGATGCCCCTGCCTCCCATGTGCTTCGACCTGACTCCGTCTACTGTTTGACTCGACTCGACTCCCGTTACGATTTCGGCTCTGATTTTCCCTCTCATTTCATGTTCTAGGTTTCGCCTCATGTTTTAAATAGCCACCTCCCTGAGAATGATAGATGTTTCGATGCCATTTTGTGTCAACGACATGAAATTCTTACCGAGATGAGGACCAAACGTTTAGTAAACAACGCTTTCATTGACGGGAAAAAAACGTGTGCCTTCTTGACACAATGTAATTACGGTGGGGAAAAGCTTGTCACACTCACCAAACTACGCTGGTTACAGAGCAAGGTGGGATGGTGAGGGAACTGCATCAACTTGAATTGCCATTACTAGTCATAATTCAATATCAAGCCGTGACGTGTCCCAAACAAGAACAGTATCTAGCTTCTTGGATCAATGCTGAGAAACCCTTGCCTTTTCGTAGGAAGCAAGTCACAAGCCAGCATCACATGGGGCAAAGTTGACGTGGAGCGTGTTGTCAAGAACACCCGAGGAGCAGTGGTGACTGGGCACACGCAAGGCTGACGAAAGCCAATTGGATTCTTCATTCGTCGATGAGTCAGTTTGGGAGGAAAGGTCAAAACCTGAAATTACTTGCGTCCGCTGAACGAAACATGGCGGAGAGACTGTATGTTACCTGCGCAGTGCGCAGCACCAGCGGTGGACGCTGCAGGAAGGCAGGAAGGGGACCCCCCCCCCACCCGTCATTCTGGCTCTTCCCAACGTTAGACCATAGGATTCTTCCGAGGCTTTTGATTGGGTCGATTTTTTACTGTCAGGCTAAAACACGTGGCGTCTGTTGCAGCACGTGTAAGGAGGAGACCTACAAATTCAGGCAATGAGCACCTGTTGTTGGGTTTGTTGACTGCTTGCGGTGACGGATGGCACAGCGACGTTTTTTTATGGTGTGGTCGCACTCGTGGTCGCGGGGTTGATTGTTCCCCCGATTCAGGGTTTAGGGGAAAAACTTATCGAAATATGCAGCTTTTGAACAGAAACTGGACTGAAATTGTCCACAATAAAATTGCTGGTGGTTGTAATTTCGGTCACCATTTCAAATGACGGGCAGAAACGCAACTGTGAGCGTGAGTGGGTGACCCATGTGGACAGGTCCGGGAGAAGCTGTGCCCAGCGCCAGCCAATTCGCCGTCAGGTCGTTCCCTTCAAGTTTCAACTGAATGCTTCCCCATGATTGCGACCACGGCCCACCGCAACTGAACGAGCCCGCCTGCAGCCACCCCAACACCCGAACTTGAGCCAGCAACGCGGGGGAGTTGGCGGCGAAGACGGAAAGAAGCGGGTGCCAAACGGGCCGCAGTCGGAAACTCCGCCGCGCGCTCCCGGCACGAACCCACAGAACCAGCCACATCGCGTCGCATACAGAACCCGTCATGGGACATGTGTGACGGGTAGCGTAGCGTTGAACAAATCCTCTTGTTGCAACACAAGAACATTGCGTGCGCGCAAACGCAAGTGAAAGTGGTTCGATTCGGTTTCCCCCCCTCCCAGCCGCTCCGCCTGCCACTGCTCCCCCAAATCCATCCCCCCTGCCCCTTGCCCCACGAGCCCACGCGACCCTCGTCAAACGGGCAGCACCTCACCTGGTCGGATTGGCGCGCAACAAACAATCCACTTCAGGCATCGTTCCGCGTCGCGTCCGTCCACCTGACTGACCCACTACAGTAACCCATGCTCCACCATCCCATCACGCACGCAACAGCCGTGTCAGCCCCTGCCAAGGCAGACTTCGGCAGTCAGGCAGGGCTGGGGGGAACTGAACCGCGTCCACCTGAAGCCTGTTTTTAGACAGGTGCCTCGTTTTCCAACCAAATCCGCTGAACTGCAAGAGTTGCGTTGTAGTAGCATACAGGACGTACGTGTGCAAGTACTTGTACCCTACAGAGTCCCCCTCGCCTGCACCATCAGCTTCAGCTGCATCAGGGCCAAGCAACAGCCCACTAGCTTCACGGCAACCGCAAGCGCTCGGCGTTGCTCAGTATCCCGCAGCGTCACGCATCTTACGGTTATTCCGTCAAGCCCGACTCCTTCCAGCTTCCGTCATGGGGCGAATGCTAGTGCACCCAGCAGCTTTAAAAGACATCAGTTTTGACAGATCCACATGCGCTGCTTGCTCCTCGCAACCCACCACCACCAGCAGCAGCAGCGGCGGCGGCGGCGGCGGCAGCAACAGTGGCGGCAGCACCATGGCCGTGTCCACATGCCCGCCAGAGACCACCGGAGCGGTTCCAAAGAAAAAGACTGGCCGTCTCGTCTCCGCCATCTCTCGCTTCTTCCAGAAATCCAACGAAACCGCCGCCCATGCCGCTGCCCCCGAAGCGGACGCAGTTGGTGCAGCTCCCGTCAGAGCTTCCGCCGCCGCTGCCGCCGCCACGGCTGTGGCGGCGTCGGCGGAACCGCAGCAGCGACAGGTCTCCGCGGATTCCGTGATCGAGAGGGTGGTTGCTGAGGGCAAGGCGGTCCGTTGCGACGGCTTCCAACAAGCCGCCGACGAAGATCACGTCAGACGGCACGTCAGCTCGCTGCCGGCGCGGTACGTTGCGGCCGGCTACTCGCCGGCGACCGTTAGGAGCCATATGGCGATGTTGGAGGAAGCTGCTTCCTTGCGAGAGGGTATCCCGGCGATTAGAGTGGATGCGAAGAATGGTGACGCAAGCAGTGCGGGTAGCACGCAGCACGACGCGACTGCAGTCGCGAACATGGGCGCTGCCCCCAACTGCGACTCTGACGACGATTGCGACGGCGACTCTTCCGTCGACGGCTTGTCGCTGGGGTCGTTCGACGACTCGCTCTCGGTCAGTCGCACGGAGATCACGTTCGCGTGCAGCTCGCACGTGTGCGCCGACGCGCTCTCGTCCGCGCTGCATCGCGCGGGGATGCGCGCGTACGGCCTGACGACATACGACACTAAGAGCGGATTCACCCTCGGACACTTCGTCCTGCGCGCGTCTATTGCGCAGTTCTCCATGCGCGAGCTCGAGGACGTCGTCGCCACCGCGTGCAAGCGTCGCTCCCCGCGCGCATCCCTCTCCGCATCCGCCCCGCGCGCGCACGCGCTGCAAGCGCTCCCTGAGGTGCTGGGGGAGAAGCTGACTCACCTGGTGGGGAAAATGAGCCCGCTGCACCACCTGACCCATCACCACAACCACCACCACCATCATCACCACCACGGGAGTGGCTCCTGGAATCTCGGCAGCGTCAGCCCGCGCCGCGCGTTCCCGCATCACTCCGGCGGCGCCGCCGGCAGCCCGGTGTTGGCGGCGGCGGCAGCGGCGTCGCGATTCGCGGGGGCGGCAGCAGCCAGTCCGCCCGCGTCGTCACCCGACGGCAACGGGCTGCTGCACGTGCTCTTGTCGGAGCGCGGCGCGATGAAGAAGAAGCTCGGCGCGCTTATCATGGACCCGATGAAACTCGAGATCGGCGCGCTTATCGCAGTGGGCGCGTCGGGCGAGGTGCGCAAGGGCGAGTACGAAGGCGAGGAGGTCGCGGTGAAGATTCTCAAGGGGGAGGGGAAGGATATCCACTCTATGGTGGCGGAGTTTCGGCGGGAAGTCGTCACGCTGATGTCATGCGGAGAGTGCCCGCAGCTGCTGAAATTCCTCGGCGTGTGCGTGGACGTGCGCGGGCGCATGTGCATCGTGACCAAGTTCATGGAAGGCGGCACGCTCAGCGAGATGCTCCGCCGGCGACAGCCGCTACAGCCGTCGCAGCAGCAGCAGCAGCAGCAGCAGCAGCAGCGGGGAGCGGCGAGGAAGCTGAGCACCAAGGAGGTGCTATCTATCGCGATGGATGTTGCTAAGGCCATGGCGTTCCTTCACAAGCACGGCATGATTCACCGCGACCTAAAATCCGCGAATATTCTCCTCGACCGCGACAACCGCGCGGTCGTGGGCGACTTCGGCGTCGTGCGATTAAAGACGGAGCGCGGCGAGATGACTAAGGAGGTCGGAACCTATCGCTGGATGGCGCCTGAGGCGTTCGGGACTAGCTCCTGGCCGGTTACGCACAAGGCTGACGTGTACAGTTACGGGATCGTTCTGTGGGAGCTTGTAGCGGGGGAGGTACCATTTGCGGATTATTCCCCGTTACAAGCTGCTGTGGCGGTGGCGCTTAACGGAGCGCGGCCTCCCGTGCCGGGAAACTGTCCTGCGGGGTTGAGGAGGCTGATGGAGCGGTGCTGGGACAAGGCGCCCAAGGAGCGGCCGGAATTCACCGAAGTGATCGGCGCGCTGCAACAGATGATGCGGGAGGAGGAGCAGCGGGAGAAGAGTAGCGAAACAGTGAGAGAGAGTTCTGCGAGCAGCTGCAGTCGCAGCTGCAGCTGATGCGAGTCAGGGAGGGGGGGGGATATGGGGGTCCCTTGACAAGTGATGACAGCTTTGAGTGGAAGCTGAAAAGAGCAAAGCAGGTTTCTTCCTTCCTCCAAGCGACATGGAATGGCACGGTATGATATGATATGAATGCAGCAGGTCGCCTGTGCAGAGGGGGCTGGGCTGGAGGTAATGTGCCTTAGGCACTGCTTCGAGATGGATTATAAATAGCTGAGTTCTCCAATTTTGTAGGACAGCTGCTGTGTAGCAGCTGGGGCGGATTGCTTGGCACAATGTGCCTGTTTATTTTGTAAATTATTATGTATATTCCTTATCAATTGCGAATCTGTCGCTTCTAGTGTATATGATAGTTGAGTTCACATGACGACGCGAGACAATAGAGAAAGCGAAATGTGTTTGTGCGTAAAGACGCTGCTACGTACTCGGTAACGCGAGACCCGTGGTTCGCTTGTGCAAGTGCGCACCCGACCTTGTTCGGCGTGAAATGCAGACGCAGTACACCCTTGCCCGTCAGGAAATTACACTAGATTTCATCTCTTGAATACGAGATCGTAGGAGCAGGTTTGGGAACTTGAGAACTAGCTCCTACATAAATTGCTCCCTAAGTAGTGTTCCCTCCCATGTCGCGCGTCTCCGATTCCACTTAGAGGCCCAGCCTTTCTCTTTCTCCGGTGCGGAGGCCACTTCACTCACTCCGTGCCCCCCCATCTCTCTCTCTCCCTCTCCCTGGTGAATCCTCTTCGACTGCTCTCCTCTCCTCCTCTCCCTCTCCCCCTCCTACTCCCTGGTATTGGTTTTTCTCCTGGCCATGGAGCCATCGGCGGCGGAGTTACCGCGGCCGGACTCGGCGCGTAGCGCGTGGCACTGGATCGACTTCGTGCTCTTCCCCGCGAGGCTCGACGAGCACCTCGCACTGCTGAGCCAAGGATCCGCTCGCGCGCCGTCGCTCGCCGCTCTCATCTCCACTTTCCTAGAGCAGGTCGGTTGTGCAGGTAAAGTCAGGCCGGTAAAGTCAGGCCAGTAAAGTCAGGCCGGTAATTTCAGGCCGGTAAAGTCAGGCCGGTAATTTCAGGCCGGTAAAGTCAGGCCGGTAAATTCAGGCCAGTAAAGTCAGGCCGGTAAATTTAGGCCGGTAAAGTCAGGCCGGTAAAGTCAGGCCGGGTCAAGCCAGGCCGGGTCAAGTCAGGCCTGCTCAAGTCGGCTCGACGAGCACCTCGCGCTGCTCTGCCAAGGATCCGCTCGCGCGCCGTCGCTCGTCGCTCTCATCTCCACATTCCCTAGAACACGTCTGTTCCTGGTCAAGTCTGGCCAGGTCAGATAAGGTCAGATTCCAATGGCTACGGTCAGGTCGGGTCGGGTCAGGTCAGGCCAGCTCAGGTCAGGTCAGGTCAGGTCAGGTCAGGTCAGGTCAGGTCAGGTCAGGTAAGACCGTTAGTACTTTCGTCGGGTAGCCGTTGAGTAGGCTTGTTATACGCTTAAATCTCTCGACCCTTGGGTCGTTTCGCGCTAGTGTCTAAGGCTTGATTGTTTACTGGGGTGTTGAAACCGATGACAGGGCTAGAGCTTGAACCGCATTTCCATCTGTCCAAAGCACGGTGTCGTACAGTGCAGTGCGGTGTATTACAGTGTACGGCGTTGCCAGAGCCTTGGTTGCTTTCAGCGTGGAGTTTGTGTCGAATGTAGAATAAAGAAAGAGAACAGCTCTGCGCTTTTAAGGCCTGGGTTGCATTTGAGAACGCTACATTACGGTACGGTACGGTGAGCGGTGTTGTCAAAACCTGAAATGTCTTCAAGTCCGTTACTGGTCGTCTTTGGAAGCTCTGCTCGTCTGTACTCTGGAGACCAGACCAGAGGCTCTACTCCAGGGTCTAACTGCCTCTATGCGTGGGTTGTTCGATCCAACTGTAGACTGCCTTCTTCCCAGTGCATCCCTCTCCCTCCCTCCCCCCCGTCTTCCTCCCCCTCTCCCTCCCTCCCTCCCTTCCTATCTATTTCTTCCCTCTATGTTTTTCCTCTCCACCTCACCCCCCTCCCTCCCCCCTCCCCCCCTCCCCCTCTCCCTCCCTCCCCCTCTTCTCCTCCAACGTTTTACTTCCGTCCCATTCCCCTTCCCCGTTCCCATTCCCCCGTCCCCCTAACCCCTTCCCCGCAACACCCCCCAGGCTGCTCAAATCCAGAGGCTGCAGGCGCCCGCGGAGGGGGAAGCAGCGCGTGCACAGGCGCCCGCAGGGGGAGGGGCGGAAGCAGGCGAGCGGAAAGGTGGCGCAGAGGCCCCTGGAAGGGAAGGGGATGCTGTGGGGAATGGTAAAGCAGTGGGGGGCAATGGGAGGAGTGCAGGAGGGAGGGGAGCTGTGGCCGAGGAAGGAGGAGGAGGGGGAGGAGGAGTAGGAGGGTCTTTATTAGCCGGGAGAGAAGGAGATAGTAAGGCTGGAGGTAAATCCCCAGCCAAGGTATCTCCCAGCCAATCCGAAGTCACCATCATGGCTCTTTGCCGATTGGCTGTGCGTGCCGCTTTGAAATCCGATCTCGCACTCCCATTGGTCGAGAGAGATCTCCCCCCCATGCACCAGATGCCCCTGCTGCAGCTGCTCGTGCTGCTGGACGATCCGAGCCGTCGCATCGCCCGGCAATGCAATCTCCACCGTTGGTTCTTGCGAGCTTGTTTGGACTGCCCGGGCGGGGGTGCAAAAGTTTTGGGGGGAGAAGGCGGAGAGGGAGAGACAGGTGGTTTCAAAGGGGGGGCTGGGGGGATTGAAACGGGGGGGAGGTATGCTGCTGGGGGTCTGGAGGGGTGGGAGTGGGTGGAGGTGGGTGGGGGAGGGGAGGAGGGCAGGTGGGTTTGGGGGGAGGAGCAGGGAGTGGGGGAATGAGAGGGATTGGCTCTGGTAATACTGCTGGTGGTGGTATGGGTGGGGGTATGGGTGGTGGTATGGGTGGGGGTGTGGGTGGGGGTGTGGGTGGGGGTGTGGGTGGGGGAGTAGGTGGGATGGGGGGGACAAAGAATACAGGAGGGAATGGGAAGATTAGTCTGGATGTGAAGAGGATTGCCGCATTTCTCTGCCCGTCTGCTTCGGTGGCGGAGCTAGATGCGTGGCTCGGGCTAGCTGAGGAAGCAGGCTCGGTGAAGTACCTAATTAAAATGTCTGGATTTGAGAAGAGAGCTGGGGGGGAGGGAGGGGAGGGAGAGGAGGGGGAAGGGGAGCAAGGGCGAGGGGAGCGAGGGTGCAACAGTGGGGGAGGAACAGCAGGAGAGGAAGGAGAAGAGGGAGGGGTTTTGGAAAAGGAAAAAGAGGGGGATGAGAGGGAGGAAGAGGCGGCCGTGGCAGTGGCTGGAGAGGCAGGGGCTGGAGAGGCTGTAGCTGGAGAGGCAGTAGTTAGGAGCGAAGTGAAGGGAGAGGAGAGAGCGACAGATATGGAAGAGCAGTCTCATCATGATCCCCCTCCCACCGCTGCCGCCGCCGCCGCCGCTGCTGCTGCTGCTGCTGCTGCTGATGATGATGATGATGCGATTGCCGCTCTTCCTTCTGCCGCTTCCCCCCCTGAAACCCCAACCCTTCCCGCTGTGCCGTTGCCTCCAGGACTGCAGCAGCTGGTGTTGTTCGATTTGGGAGAGTATCAGTTCGCCAGGGGGAATATCTGGCTGGCCGCTCGGCTGTTCGCGGCATGTGAGGCTGGAAGCAGGGGAGAAGGGGACGGGGAGACGGGTGGGGAGGGGGAATGGGAGGGGGAGGGGGAGGGGGAGGGGGATGGGGAACAGGAGGGGGAGGGGGATGGGTATGTGGTTGGGGAAGGGGAGAGGAAGGAGTTGGAAAGGAGAGAGAAAGAGGGTGTGCAGGAAAGGGGGGAAGTTGGGAGGGGAAAGGAGGAGGGAAGGGCGGAGGGAGGGGGAGAGGGAAAGGAGGAGGGGGAAAAGATGGAGATAGGTGAGGGGGAGGAGCGGGAGGAGGGGGGGAAGCGGAAGGTAGAAGAGGAAGCGGAGGAGGGAGATAGAGGAGGGGACGGAGAAAAGGATATGGGTATGGAGGAGGAAGGGGGGAGAGAGGGTGAGGGAGAGGGAGAAGGAGAGGAGGCAAGGAAACAAGCACGGGATGGGGTTGCTAAGAGCGGTGATAAGGCAGTAGAGGGTCAGAGAGCGGGGGAAGAGGAGGCAGAGGGAGAGGGAGAGGCAGAGGGAGAGGGGGAGGCAGAGGGAGAGGCAGAAAGAGGTGTGCTGGTTGCAAAGGGGATTCTGAGTGCAGGGGGAAAAGCCCCAGGAGAGAAGGATCCGCTGAGTAACGGAGGAGAAAAGGTAAGGCTTGTGAAAGGCGCAGGAGAAGGGGTAGGGGGGCTGAAAGGACGAAGCGGAGGAGCGAGGTTAGGGCGGGTGGGGCTCGTGAATGGAGGAGAAGGAGTGGGGATAGGGTTTGCGGGTCTGGGGGAAGAGAGTGGGGACGTGGTTGCGAGGGAACGGTTGCTGGGGTTTCTGGCTGCTTGTGAGGCGCTGCTGCCCGCTCCTGTTGCGAGAGGGGGGAGGGAGGAGAGGGGAAAGAGGGGGAGGGGAGAGGGGGAATCGGAGAGAGGAGGGATTGGGGAGAAAAGGAAGGGTCAGAGAGAGGGGGGGGCAGGAGGGGCAGGAGAGGCAGGAGAGGCAGGAGAGGTGGGAGAGGCAGGAGAGGCAGGAGAGGCAGGAGAGGCGGGAGAGGCAGGAGAAGAGGATTTTTTGGGATGTTCCAGGTCCTTGAATGCTGCTGGTCAATGCGAACTGCTGAGGAAGCAGACTTGCGATGCTGCTGCTGCTGCCGCTCCAGCGGAGGCTAGAGAATTCAAAGAAAGTCGGGATGCTGAGGTAGGTGAGCAGCAGCAGCAGCAGCAGCAGCAGCAGCAGCAGTCTAGGAGACGGAAGAGAAAGAAACTACATGTGGGAGAGCGGCAGGAGCAGCCGGAGAAGCAGGAGAGGCAGGCGGAGGAGGGGGAGGAGAAGAGAGAAGAAAGGGCGAAGAGGAGGGAGAAGCGACTGAAGCAGAGCGAGCCCCCAAGGTCAAAGGAAGGTGGTGGGGTCGGGAAAGTCGAAAGGGAGGGTGCTGGTGCGGGTGCGGGTGAGGGTGCTGGTGCGGGTGAGGGTGCTGAGAGTGATGATCTGGGGGGTGGAGGAGTGTGGGAGCTGGAGAGAGAGAGGAGGCAGGAGGGCGAAGAGGGAGGAGAAGAGGCAGGGAAGCGCGGACAAGAGCAGGAGCAGCAGGAGCAGCAGGAGCAGGAGAAGGAACAGCAGCAGGAGGAGCAGGAGCAGGAGAAGGAACAGCAGCAGGAGGAGCAGGAGCAGAGAGGCAAAGGGAGGAAGCCACAACGGTTCACTCAAGAATCGAAAGTCAGAGTTCCACAGTGCCCGCTCCCTGCCACCGCTCTCCTCGACCTTTTGATTCAAGACATTCTGTGGCAGCAGCTGCCCGAAGGCTACCGGGCAGCACTTGAAAAGGATTCCTTGCTGCCCGAGGGCCTCCGCGGAAGAATTTCTGCAGCGAATCTTGTTCACCGTGTTGCCGTGGGCTGGCAGCCGGTGGAAATATTTCTGCGATCCTGGCTTGAGAAGAGTATTTCAGGGCAGGATGGGCAGCAAAATTCCTGCTGGGGCCTGTCGAAGAGCGTCCTTGTTATTGTAATTAAACTACTCAGTTTCTTGCTGAAGGAACTGCAGAGATACCCCAGTAGGAACGGGGAATTCCGGACAATGGTCAACGGCATGACAAGGAAAGCCAGTAGCACGGGCAGGGGCAGAGAGGGAGCTATAGACAGTGACAGAGAAAACGGCATAGAGGTGGTAAGGGCAGAAAGAGTGGCACTGGTAGCAGAGAGGGCAGCGGCGCTAGCAGCATTTGTGAGCTGCCTGGTAGGGCAACCATGGGCGTGGGGCCTGGCGGGGCGAGTCAGAGTGCTGCAGAGGTGGATAGAGGGGGAATGCCAGGGTGGGAGGGATGGGGTGCAGGGCGGGGAGAGAGGGGAGGTTGTTGAGAAGGAATGGGAGAGGGCTGCGGGATGGGAATGTGACGACGTGGGGGGCTGGGTTAGTGGGGACGGTGGGGTAGAGGAGGCATGGGAGGCGGAGGAAGAAGGCGAAGAAGATGAGGAGGTGGAGGAAGAGAGAAGGGAAGAGGGAGGGGAGGAGGGAGAGGAGGATGAGGAGAGCGCTGAAGAGGAAATGGAGATAGTAGGAGGGGTAGGAAGGGCGCAAAGAGGCTTGGAGGAACTGTACTTGTTAGAGGGGAGCGTGTCAGAGGCAGTTAGTCTCCCGCCCTTGGCTTTGGAACTGGGTGCTCTTGGCTCAGCCACAGAGCTGGAGAGGATGGTTCGAGCAATGCTGCTGCATTTCCAGGCAGTCGGTAGAGCTAGTAGGACTAAGGAGGGAGGAGTAGCATTGCTGGGAATGGAGCAGCGGCACTCTCCCACAGCAGCAGCAGCTCCTGTGAGAGCAGCAGAGGCCGGGTTGGCAGAGGCAGGATTGGCCGAGGCAGCAGGAGGACGCGACTCTCTCCTTGATGAAGGTATAAAGAGGGTGGGGGAGAGTATGGGGTTGTGGGCAGTGCAGGTTGTGGGGATTCTGGAGCGTATAGGGAAGGGTTTGCTGAGGGAATGGATGGCCGTGGGGATGAGAGAGGGAGGAGGGATGAGATGGGAGTATGGGTTGGGTGAAGGCTCGGACGGAGGCTCGGGGACTGGTTTGGATGGAGGTTTGGTTGGAGGCTTGGAGGGAGAGGCAGTAGTGATGGTGAGCAGGAGGAGTGGGGGGAAGAAGCGGGGGAGGAATGGGGGTGTGTGCAGTGGGGTGGGGGGAGAGGAGAGGGAGGAGAGGGAGGAGAGGGAGGGGAGGAGGAGAGAGTTGTGGGTTGGTGCGCAACGGTTGTTTCAGCTGGCAGTTGACTTGTCTGCTGCCGCTGCTGGTTCTTCTGGTGCTGGTGCTGGTGCTGCTGGTGCTGGTGCTGGCGCTGGTGCTGGTGACACTGCTGCTCCTGCTGCCGAGCCTGCAGGTGCCAAGTGGGGAGGTGACGTCGGCAGTCACGTGCTGCTGTGGGCCATGGGGGGCGGGCTGGATAGCAGACCAGGGGAAAGGACAGAACGGAAGGAGCGAGAGGAGGGCAGGGAAGAGAATGGCAGTGGTGGGATGAAGGACCCGGTGCATGGAGTAATGGATGGAGCGGTGGTGGCAATACCAGTGAATTTTGCCACTGATGCTGATGTTGCTGCTGCTGCTGCTGCTGCTGCTGCTGCTGCTGCTGCTGCTGCTGCTGCTGCTGCTGCTGCTGCTGCTGTATGTAAAGCTGATGGCACGCAGGAGATGGGAGGGAAAGAAGCACAATCAGTGTCGGTAGAGACAGCAGCACCAGCAGCAGCGCCAGCAGCAGCGCTTGCAGCAGCAGCAGCACCACCACCACTGCCAGGAGCAACAGCAGCCGGGGGTGGAAGTGTTACATCGAAGGGAAGTAGTACCAGAGGAACCAGAGGAAGTGTTTCTGCAGGCCCAGTGCAAGAGGAAGGAAACGACTTGCAGAAGCAGCAGCAGACTCCGAGTGAGACGCAGGAGGAGAGGCAGACGACGGAGCAGAAAGAGAAGCAGCAGCAGCAGCAGCAGCAGCAGAAGGAGCAGCGGCGAAATAGCAGGAGCACGTGGTTTGAGGGTTCCCCTCACACCTGGCCCACCCTCTCGTCCCCCTGCATCCCTCCTGGCGCTGCTGAGCTGGCTCTGGCGCTCCTGACCAATCAGCAGCGTTGGCGCGATGCGCTGGCGCTCTGCGATTGGCTGGCGGGTGTGGTTGGGCGAGTGGAGGGCGGAGGGGAAGGAAGGGAAGGCGGTGGGCCCCTGGCAATGGCTGGTGAGGCAACAGCAGCGGCAGGAAGGGTGAGAGGAGAATTTTTGGGGGAAGGAAAGGAAAGCAGTCGGCCACTGGCTGTGGCTGGTGAGGCAACAGCAGTGGTAGGAAGTGCGAGAGGAGAAGGCAGAAGGGAAGGTAGGGGAGAAGGCGTGGGGGAAGGTAGAGAAGTGGGTAAAGGAGATGGGAAGGGAGAAGGAGATGGGAAGGGAGAAGGAGATGGGAAGGGAGAAGGCGTGAGTTCAGGTCAGAAGCAGGGAGCCCTGGGTGAGAGTGGTCTGGAAACAATTGGAGAGAAGCAAACAGGAGCAGCAGAAGCAGCAGGGGACAGGGAATTCGAGGTGGTTGCGATGCAAATAGATTCAGGTGTTGCAGCGACAGATGCCACGCCTCCCTCTCCAACTGCTGCTGCTGCTGCTGGTACTGCTACTGAAACTGTTGCTGGTGCTGCTCCTGGTGCTGGTGATGGGGCATTGCCTCTGGTGGATGTGGGAACAGGTGCAACGGGTGGGGTCGCAAGTGGGGAGGTGGTGACGCGAGGAGGGAAAGGAAACGGCCAACAGGTGGAGTGTAGGAGCAATAGGGAGAGAGAGAGTGAGAAGGAGAGGACGGGAGAGAAGGTGGAGGGGGTGAAGGGGGAAAGGGAGAGAAGGGGGAGGATGAAGGGGTGGTGTATGGACATGGGTGCGGTAGTGGCTGTGTGTCGATGCCTGTGTGAGCTCATGATTGCTGTTGACGAGTTTCTTGGAAGGGGTTGTGGGGGAGGGGGAGAGAAGACAGGCAGCAGGCCAAGCAGCAGGCCAAGCAGCAAGGAAAGCTGTAAGGCAAGTGTAAAGGCAGGGGGAAATCCGGATGGCGTGGATTCTGCTGAAGTCGCGGGCGATACGTTGAAGTCTAGGACAGCAAGGCTAGCAGCTAGACTTTGCGTTGCTCTGGATGCAGCTCTGGCTGTTCTTGTGGTGTATGGGTGCCGAGAGCCCCGCCTCCTGCTGCCGCTGGCACAGGAAGGAGGGGTGGCAGCAGCTGCAGCGGGTGGTTCCGCTGCTGCTGCCGCTGCTGCTGCCGCTGCTGCTGCGCTGAAGGGGGCTGATGGTATGCCAGGAGGGGGTGGTGTTGCGTCAGGTGGGGTCGCTGGTGCGGCTGAGGGCAGTGCTGAGGCTCTCAAAGGCAGTGCTGTCGGTGGGGCAAGGAGAGAAGAAGGTACTGATGCGGGTGGGGATATGAGAGGCGAGAGGGCCGGGAAAGGGAGGGGGGAGAATGGGATGAGTGGTGATGGTGCTGGGGATGGTGATGGATGGGGCGAAGGAGGAGGAGGAGTAGGGGGGAAAGCGGGAGGGGAAACAGGAGGGAGAACGGGAGGGCAACAGCGAGAGCAAGTTGTTTCAGCAACGGTTGTAGCCACACCTGCAGCACTCACAGGAGCACCGGCAGCAGCAGCAGCAGCAGCAGCATCTCTCTCCCCTCCTCCTAGCTCTCATCTTCTTCGGCGGATACCGCTCCTTCCTCTCCTTTACAACCCTGCGCTTCTCACCCGCCTGGCGTCGCTGCTGGTGGGCTGGGTGCATCGCTATGGCACGGGTGCAGGTGGTGGTGCTGCTGCCACTGCTCCTGCACCTGACGCTTTTGAGGCGCCTCAAAAGTCTGCTCCTGCACCTGACGCTGCCGCTGCTGCTGCAGCAGCAGCAGCCCCTGGTGCCACGGCCACAGCACCACTAAGGGGGGGAGCCGCAGCAGGTGGAGCTGTGACAGCAGCAGCAGCAGCTGGTGTTACTGGTGGCGTTGCTGCTGCTACCCTTGATCGTTCCACTGGTAGTGGTACTGCTGCTGCTGCTGTTGCTGCTGCTGCTGCTGCCAGTCCAAGGAGGTGGTTACTAGAGCTCCCTCGGTTCGGTCCTCTTGCTGCCGTTGCCGCAGGCTTGGACATATTTGGGGGAGGTGCGGGAGAGGCTGGGCAGCAGGGTACGGAGAAGTGGAACGGGAGGATTGGTGAAGGGGGGGAGGTGAGTGGTGGGAGGAACGGGGGTGGTGGAGTAGGGGGCAGGGATGGTGGGGGCAACGGTGGGGGGAGGAGTAAGGGAGAGGAGGGGGGGAGTAAGAGAAAGAGGACGAGGGAGGAGAGGGAGGGGAAGAGGGAGGAGAGGGAGGGGAAGAGGGATGAGAAGGAGGCGAAGAGGGAGGATAGGGAGGGGAGACGAGAGGAGAAGGAGGCGCGGAGGGAGAAGAGGCGGAGGGAGAAGGAGGAGAGGGAGAAGGAGAAAGAGAAGGAGAAGGAGAGGGAGAAGGAGAGGGGTAGACATAAGGAGAAGGGCAGTGAGAGAGAGAAAGGCAGGGAGAAGGAGAAAGAGAAAGACAGGGAGGAGAGAGAAAAGGGGAGGGAGAAGGAGAGACACAAGGAGAAAGATATAGAGAAGGATAAAGAGAAGGACAGGGAAAATGAGAGGGATAAAGAAAGGGAGAGAGACAAGGAGAGGAGCAAATCAAAGGGTGAGAAGGGGTCTTCCTCCCATCGCCACCGTCACCACCATCACCACCACTCAAGCCGCTCCCACTCCTCTCCCTCACACTCTCCCTCCCACTCCCCTTCCGAGAACCTCTCTCCGCCCCACTCCCCCTCCACCTCCCCTGCTCATGTGCCTGTAGACGCTTCATCCACCCGTCCTATGTCGCCGCATAACCCTCCGACACCCAGCCAGTCAACAGCAGCAACAGCCGCAGTAGAAACGGTAGTGGCACCAGCAGTAACAGAAGGGGTAATGGCAGCAGCGGCAGCAGCAACACTACCAACAGAAACAGCAACAGAAGCGGCAGCAGCAGCAGCAGCAACACCACCAACAGTAACAGAAGCATCACCTTCTGGTGTAACAGCAGCAGAAGGCGAAGGAGAAGGAGCAGCAGCAAGAGGGCCAAGCAAGGGAGAAGCGAGTGGGGGAGCGAATGGGGGAGAGACAGCTATTACAAGGACAGCTGGGGCTGGGGCTGGGGCTGGTGCTATTGCCAGTACAGCTGTTGAAGCTCCTGCCACCCTTGACACTGCCATCACTGCTGCTAGTAGTGATGCTGGCTCAACTGGTGCTGAAGCTGCTGCTTCTGCCACCGACGCGGGTACTGATGCCTCTGCTGCTGCTGCTCCTGCTGGTGCTGGTGCTGCTAATTCAAGTGACAGGACTGCGGCGCCGTGTGTTGCTGCAGCAGGTGAAGCGGAAACAGCTGCTGCCGTCGCAGTAGCAGAAGAACAGCCCGCAGCAGGGGCGGAAGTAACAACAGCAGCAGCAGGAGGAGCAGCAGTAGCAGCAGCAGCAGCAGCAGCAGCAGCAGCAGCAGCAGCAGCAGCAGGAGGAGGAGCAGCAGGAGAAGAGGCACCAGCCGTAGCAGAATCGCCAGCAGCAGCAGCAGCATCCGTACCAACTACAGGCAGCAGAGACAGGCAACATGATGGTGCAACAAGAACGGGTAAAGAGGGAGAGAACGGGAGCAAAGCAGCTGGTGCATCAGACGAGCAAAGCAAGCCCAAGTCTATAGAGGGCCCCATGCCTCCTGTTGAACGGCGTCCTTCTGCTCCTACTCCTGCGGCTGCTGCTTCTGCTGCTCCTTCTGCTGCTGCTTCTGCTGCTGCTTCTGCTGCTGCTTCTGCTGCTGCTTCCGCTGCTGCTTCTGCTCCTACTACTCCTGCTGCTGCTTCTGCTCCTACTGCTCCTACTGCTCCTGCTGCGGCCTCTGCTGCCCCTCCTGTTTCTGCCATTCCCGTTGCTGCTGCCCCTGCTCCCGCCACTCCCGTTTCTGCCACCCCTGCTGCTGCGCTTCCTGCTTCCGCCCCCAGTGGCACCACCACGGATGCAGGAGGCGAGAAAGGAATCGGCTTGGCGGGTGCTGGTCGTGCCACTCCCCCCAAGGATGATATACGCCCCCCCAACCCCAAGCAAGGGGAGGCAGGTGCGGGTGGATCACCAGTGTGGAAGTACCCCCACGCGAGGGCGCATGTGTCGCTGGGTGCTGGGCTTCTGGAGTGGCTGCTGCTGCGCCTGACAGGCGCTGGTGGGGGCGAGAGAGAGGGGGCAGCAGGGGCAACAACAGGTGCTGTAGGGGCAGCAGGGGCAACAACAGGTGCTGTAGGGGCAGCAGGGGCGATAGGTGCGGCCACTGGTGCCCCTGTGGCAGGACGTGGGAGTGGAGGGAGTGGCAATAGGGGCTTAAGCTGGGCATGGGAGTGCCGGCTTGGGGATTGGGTGCGTGAAGGGGGAGAGGGGGATGAGGGGAGGGAGGGGAGTGGGAGTGGGAGTGGGGATGTTGGTGGTGATATGAGCCTGTGGCATGGGGAGGAGGATGCGTGGTGGGAGAATCAGCAGCAGCAACCGCCGCAGCAACAGGGACAGCAGGCGCAGGCGCAGCAGCAGCAGCAGCAGCCGTTGCTGCTGTGGGGGCAGGATCCTCTGTTCCCGCTGCCACAGCTGCTGATGCACCAGCATGTTTCGCCTCACCTGCCCCTGCTGCTGCAGCAGCAGCAGCAGCAAGTTTGGCAGTTACAGCCTCCATACGGCCAGGGCTCAGCAGCAGCAGCAGCAGCAGCAGCAGCAGGTGCAGCATCAACTACAGCAGCATTGGCAGGGCTCAGAGCGAGAGGAGCAGGAGCAGCGGGAGGAGTGTTTTCAGCAGCAGCTGGTGGTGGTGGTGGTGGTGGAGAGGGAGAGGTGGAGGGAGAGTCATGGGTGTGGCTGCTGTGTGTGGCTGACATCGCTTTCAACCGAGGGGATCATCTCTCTGCTCTCCGCCTCTACCTCCTCGTCAGTCCCACTCTCCCTCGTCCCCCTCCCCCTCCCCCAACCAACATTTGCATAATCTCGTCTGCTCATGAGTTTCAGAGATGACTTTGCAGGGTGTCTTTGAGAATTCGCTCAAACACTTTTGAGTCGACTCAAAAGTCCACTCGTGAGTTTCTTCTCTCATTCCAAACCTCTTGGTTCCATTCTCGTTCCTCCCTTTCTGTGTAAGGTGTGTAATGAGTCGATTTTTGAGTCGACTCAAAAATCCTCCCTTTCTGTGTAAGGTTCAATCCTGCACAAACGGACTGCTGATCTATGTTAAGGGTGCTGCATGCTTACCTTTACCTACATCACCCTCTCACGTTGACTCTTTCCCCTCCTCCCGGGTTTTAACTTGACCAGGTTTTAACTCAACCTGGTTTTAACTCGACCAGGTTTTAACTCGACCAGGTTTTGGCTCGAGCAAGCCTCCCACCCTCTCACGATCTCACCCTCCCCTCCGCCCTCCCCCCTGGTGTGCGGCTGGCGAGTTACGGCTCTGGGACAACAACCTGGTGAACGCTCGTCTTTTGAGGGTTGTTGCCTAGGTGCCTCAAGAAGATTCCTCCGGTGTGCCTGGCTGACGAGTAGGCCACTCGAGGGCTCTGGCTCGTCGCCACCTGGTTTCTAAGTCCCGTTGACCGTTGACCGAGTTTCAACTCAAGCAAGCCTAGGCAAACAGATCTTCTCACCCACCTCTGTCCTGTGACTCCTGTCCCCATCCCCCCATTGTGTGCCAGGCGGGCAACTCAGCCACTCGGGGGTTCTGGGACAACAACCCTGGAAACGCCAACGGGGGCAGCAGCCGAGGCAGCCTGGCAAGGCAAGCTGCGCAGGCAACCGTTTCCCTGGGGATCACCCTGCGCTCACTCATTGCCTCGGCAGCGGCAAACAGCAGCGCTGGCGGTAGCATCAGTGTGGGGAATGGCGGCTTGGGTAGTGGTGGTGGTGGTGGTGGCAGTGGGAGCGCTTTGCAGGCCTTCCCTGCTGGTGGTGGTGCTGCTGGTGCTGGTGCTGGTTCTGGTGCTGGTTCGGGTGCTGGTGCTGCAAGCATGGGGATGGGGGCAGGATTAGGTCTGGGCATGGGTATGGGCAGAGGAATGGGGAGGGGAATGGGCATGGGTTTAGATGGGAGGGCCGGTGGAGCAGCCGCTGATGCAGCAGCATGGGGAGGAGGAAGAGGGAGAGGAGGGGTACTCCCTGTGGGGGGGATGATGCTAGGCGTTGGTGCTACTACTACTGCTGCTGCTGCTGCTGCTGCTGGTGCTAGTGGTAGTGCCATTGGTGCTGCTACTGCCAGCAACACTTTTAACAACAACAACAACAGCAGCAGCAGCAGCATCGGGCTCGTTCCGCATGGTGCTGCAGCTGATGCCGCTCCGCCGCCCGCCAACTGCTCTGCCCTTCCTCGCGTGTTCTCACCCTGGGTGGTACGTGCTTCACTCCACTCCACATGCTTCTCTCTCAAATGGTCCGTTGATGCTTCTCTCTCAAATGGTCCTTTGATGCTTCTCTCTCAAATGGAACTCCTCTCTCCCTCTCCCCCTGCTGTCATCACTCTTTCCACCGTCAACTGAGTCACACGCTGCCTAAGCTTCGGTCTACTCTCGTGCCTTAGCCCCCCCGCATCTCTCTTCCTCCCTCCCTCCTCTTCCCCTCCTCTCTCTCCTTGCCCTCTCCCCTCAGTTGAGGTGCATCCTGCTATCGTTTCGAGCCATGGGCGCCGCTCTCCCAGCAGCCATGCTGTGCCAGCTGCTGCCAAAGCCTTCAGGCCCTCTTTCCTCTCCCCCCCTCCCTCCCCCCCTCCTGCCCCTCCCTCCCCTCAGCTGCGGCGCATGCTGCTCTCCCTCCGGGCCATGGGCGCCGCTCTCCCAGCAGCCGTGCTGTGCCAGCTGCTGCCGGCGCCCTACCTCTCGCTCGCCTTCCACCTGCTCTCCTCCTCGCCGCTCCTTGACTCGGCCACCACTCAGGCCTACATCCAGTGCATTTGGGAGGTGAGTGTGTGGGAGGTTTGCTTTCCAGCCACAATTTTTGCTGCCACAAGTGCTTAGTGCTCCTCCTGCCCTACCTCTCGCTCGCCTTCCACCTGCTCTCCTCCTCGCCACTGCTTGACTGCGCAACCACTCAGGCCTACATCCAGTGCATTTGAGAGGTGAGAGTGTGCGGGGGGTGAGTGTGTGTGGGAGGTGAGTGTGTGTGGGGGGTGAGTGTGTGTGGGAAGTGAGTGTGTGTGGGGGGTGAGTGCATGTGGGGGGTGAGTGCATTTGAGGTCTTGAGACATGTTAAAACGCCACCACGTAGGCCTACATCCAGTGCATGTGGGACGAGAGTGAGAGTGTGTGTGTGTGTATGTGATATTAGCTTTTTGGCATCGAACACCCCTAGGGAAAAGGGCTGTGTTTTAGCCGATTCGCCACACTGCAACCGACTCCCACCCTCACTGCCTGCCACCCCATCCCCATCCCCACCACTATCCCCATCCCCCGCTGCCTCCCATTCAGATTCCCATCCTGGAGCTGCGTACAACCCCATTTTTCTCACCGCCTTCGCCCTTCCCCCCTCCCTCCCCCCCTGACCTTATCCCCTTCTCAGTTTCTCCTCCTGGAGCTGCTCGCCAGTCCACTAGACGCAGTAGGGGACACGGCCACACTCGCCCTCGTGCTCTCCATGCCGGCGCAACCTGCCTGCAACGCGCACTATCCCCGTGTCTCACTGCCTCTTTTCCCCCTCCCCCCCCCACTCCCCGCAACCTTATCCTTATCCCCTTTCCAGACTCCCCTCCTCGAGCTGCTCGCCAGTCGGCTGGATGCAGCAGGCAATAACACAGCCTCTCCCACCCTCGTGCTGGCAGTGTTCGCGTGTTTTGATTCTACTCAAAACGCAGCAGGCAACAACACAGCCACTCTCACCTTCGTGCTGGCAGTGCTCCCATTTTTCTCACCGCCTTCGCTCTCCCCCCCCCCGGACCTTATCCCCTTTCAGATTCCCCTCCTCGAGCTGCTGGCCAGTCGGCTGGAAGCAGCAGGCGACACGGCCACACTTGCCCTTGTGCTGTCCGTGCTCGCGCACCCCTCCTGCAACGCGCACAACCCGCCCTTTGTGCGCCGCGCCCACGTGCGCCGCTGCTCCCTGCGCTTCTTCCGCCTCCTGGCCTCGCAGCTGGGAGCAGCAGGGGGGGGATGTTGTGAGGGGCGTTGAACACCTCTCGGTAGTTGCTGCCCCCTGCGCTTCTTCCGCCTCCTGGCCTCGCAGCTGGGAGCAGCAGGGGGGGTGGTAGGTGTCTAGAAGGGTAGGCGCCTACTAGGTAGTTTCTCCCTGTGCCTCTCTGTGTCCAGGCTGTGCAGCTGGGGGAAGCAGGGGGGTTAGCCTAGGGCATCTTGCCTGCCCTGGTTGGTAGCTGTTCCCTGTGCTGCTTCCGTCTCCTGGCTTCGCAGATCGTAGGGGGCTCTGAGATTTGAATGTTAGTTGGGTGGGTTGGTATTTGCTCCTTGCGTCCTTCCAGCAGGAGAACCTGTTTGAGGTAGGTACTACATTAAAGGATATTCTTTCTGTGCCTCTTATTCCTTGTGCAAAAAACTCATCAGATAAGTAAGAAGCGCATGCTGTATGCTGTACAAATGGCCATTGGTTTTATTGCAAGACGTGTTTTGGAAGGAATGCAGGCTGGTTTTACGTACGGAATGCACATAAGTGTAAAGCCTAACAGGTGGGAGAATTTCTCGTACTAGGTGAGCTCTTAACGAGTACAAGGAGCTCCCAAGGCTATCACTGGCTTCCACGCACTGACAGGGCACATGAGACCAGGCTGAGTCAGCATCAACTTTCAAGACTCTGCGGAAGTGAGGCAAGCTCGATTCGAATCGAACCAATTACACCAGCAGTGGAACGAGGCCATGGCAGGGGACAGGGGCCGGTGAAACCAGACAGAAACGCACCCGAACCAGCACAAAAAGCTTAAACCAATTTAAACCCAGTCTAACCTGCTTTCTGCTGTGTGACATGACATGAGCGGATTTGGTGGGTCTGTTGGTGGTGGCCTGCTGTTGCTGGTGGGTGGTTCAGCTCTGCTCTGCTTCCGCTGTCGGCCAGTCATCAGTATGTGCCGTGGCGAGGCGAGGCTCTATGCTATGGATAATGGAAGCATGCTGCTGCAGTGCAGCCCGCAAGTGAGAGGCCAGTCGTACACTATTACTTAGCTTTCTTTCTCCCCGATCCCAGTCGTAGAGGCTAGTAGTAAACGTACCCTATGGTTTCCGTGCAATGAGAATTCCCATGACTCTCGTGACAAACAGTGCTCGAACCTTGAATTGTCTTGGACACTGGCAGTGGCCGCTATTACCCGCCGCGGACAGCTTTCCAGATTCCAGACGACTAGATTATTCTGCTAGTTAGAGTAGAGACTGCGAATCTCTTACCTCCTTCCTCCGCCATCTCACAAACATCAAACGTTAGCTGTCTTCCGCGACTCTCCTCCCCCCCTTTCCCGCTAGTCCCCCCATTCCCCGCGGCTCCTCCGCGCTCTCCCCACCCGCCCACTCCCCCCCCCACCCCGCGGTCTCCCCAAGCCCCCCCCTTCCCCACAGAACCTCCCGCAGCTCCGTCTAATGTCCGCTTCCGCCTGTTCCGCCGCTCTCCTCCCCGCGGCCCTTCCGCGCTGCGCCAGCCCACCGACCTCCGCCGCCGCTCATTCCCCCGCTCCCCCATTGAACCGCTCCCCTTTTTTTAAGCCGCCTAGGAAATTCAACCGGTCGCCCGCCACCCGTGGCAACCTACTCCTATTTAACGCGCCTCGGTTGCCTATGCAAACTAACGGTGATACCGCTGGTACCGTTAGAACTAACGACTTGCTGCTCTCCCCGTCGACCCCCCGCCGCCGTGCCGCGCAGCTTGCGCCTCCGCTGCTGGGGAAGGGGACCGGCGGCGGCGGGGCGTTGGCGCGCGCGGGCGCGGAGCAAGGCGGAGGGATGTGGCGGGGCGGAGCGGAAGACGGGGGGACGGGCTTGGGGGCGGAAAATCCTTTCTTGAATCCGCTTCTGAAAGAAAGGCCGCGCCCGCGCAGTGTCGCGGCATGTGCGGGGAATGATCCGTGCGCGGATGCGGCGGATGACCAGAGGCGCGCGGACGAAGGGGGGTGTGGGGAGGGCGGGGGGGGAGCGGGCGCGGAAGAGGACGGGGAAAACGCGGAGCTTGTGGGCGGAGGGGGGGAGGCGGAGGAGCATTTGTCGTCTTCTGGGCGGACGTTGGGCAATCTGATCATATCTATTGTGGGCGCAGGTGGGCGGGTGGTTGAGCGGGCGGTTGGGCGGGTGACAGTTAACAGGTAGCAGTAGATAGGGAAGTAGCAGGTGGGAAGTAGCAGGTGGGAAGTAGCAGGTGGGAAGTAGTAGGTGGGAAGTAGCAGGTGGGAAGTAGCTGGTGGGAAGTAGCAGGTGGGAAGTAGCAGGTGGGAAGTAGCAGGTGGGAAGTAGCAGGTGGGAAGTAGCAGGTGGGAAGTAGCAGGTGGGAAGTAGCAGGTGGGAAGTAGCAGGTGGGAAGTAGCAGCAGGTGAGCAGGTGGCAGATTTTCTCGCTGGTCTCAAAAGACGGGCCCACTCCCTCATGCAAGGGAATGGTGGTAGCTCGGTTAAACACCATACATACGGCGTACCCGCCACGTGTGCAAAGAATCAGAGCTCCAAATGCATACCCCACACACACACCCCCCCCCTCCCCCATTCCCCCATTCCCCCCCCCCGCCAGCCACCTCCTCCCCTTTCCCAGCCGTGCTAGGCTTTTGAGAACACTCAGAAAACCTTGCTCGGCCCTCCCTACGCGTTCTTGCACCCAGGGGAACTCCGCGTGTAAACGGATTGTGACACTGCGCCTGATAGGTTGCAGGGTCGCACAACACAGATAGATCTTCTTGAAGCGAAAGTTCCGTGTGACATTATAACGAGCTGACTTTTGAGTCGACTCAAAAGTCAACGGATTGTGACACTGCGCCTGATAGGTTGCAGGGTCGCACAACACAGATAGATCTTCTTGAAGCGAAAGTTCCGTGTGACATTATAACGAGCTGACTTTTGAGTCGACTCAAAAGTCAACGGATTGTGACACTGCGCCTGATAGGTTGCAGGGTCGCACAACACCGATAGATCTTCTTGAAGCGAAAGTTCCGTGTGACATTATAACGAGCTGACTTTTGAGTCGACTCAAAAGTCAACGGATTGTGACACTGCGCCTGATAGGTTGCAGGGTCGCACAACACAGATAGATCTTCTTGAAGCGAAAGTTCCGTGTGACATTATAACGAGCTGACTTTTGAGTCGACTCAAAAGTCAACGGATTGTGACACTGCGCCTGATAGGTTGCAGGGTCGCACAACACAGATAGATCTTCTTGAAGCGAAAGTTCCGTGTGACATTATAACGAGCTGACTTTTGAGTCGACTCAAAAGTCAACGGATTGTGACACTGCGCCTGATAGGTTGCAGGGTCGCACAACACAGATAGATCTTCTTGAAGCGAAAGTTCCGTGTGACATTATAACGAGCTGACTTTTGAGTCGACTCAAAAGTCAACGGATTGTGACACTGCGCCTGATAGGTTGCAGGGTCGCACAACACAGATAGATCTTCTTGAAGCGAAAGTTCCGTGTGACATTATAACGAGCTGACTTTTGAGTCGACTCAAAAGTCAACGGATTGTGACACTGCGCCTGATAGGTTGCAGGGTCGCACAACACAGATAGATCTTCTTGAAGCGAAAGTTCCGTGTGACATTATAACGAGCTGACTTTTGAGTCGACTCAAAAGTCAACGGATTGTGACACTGCGCCTGATAGGTTGCAGGGTCGCACAACACAGATAGATCTTCTTGAAGCGAAAGTTCCGTGTGACATTATAACGAGCTGACTTTTGAGTCGACTCAAAAGTCAACGGATTGTGACACTGCGCCTGATAGGTTGCAGGGTCGCACAACACAGATAGATCTTCTTGAAGCGAAAGTTCCGTGTGACATTATAACGAGCTGACTTTTGAGTCGACTCAAAAGTCAACGGATTGTGACACTGCGCCTGATAGGTTGCAGGGTCGCACAACACAGATAGATCTTCTTGAAGCGAAAGTTCCGTGTGACATTATAACGAGCTGACTTTTGAGTCGACTCAAAAGTCAACGGATTGTGACACTGCGCCTGATAGGTTGCAGGGTCGCACAACACAGATAGATCTTCTTGAAGCGAAAGTTCCGTGTGACATTATAACGAGCTGACTTTTGAGTCGACTCAAAAGTCAACGGATTGTGACACTGCGCCTGATAGGTTGCAGGGTCGCACAACACAGATAGGTTCCATCAGGCCTTTCCCCCCTAATGCCTGTCTTTTTCTCCCACACTCCCCTCTCTTCTCCCCTCTCCCTCCCCCCCTTTCCCCCTCCCTCTCCCTCTTCCCTCTCCCCCCCCCTCCCCCCCCCCCAATCCCTCCCAGGCGTGCTCGGCCTGCCATACGCGTTCATGCGCTCGGGGTGGCTGGTGTCGTTGATCTCCCTGGCCGCCACCGCTGCGCTCACCTACCGGGGCATGCAGCTGCTCGTCGCAGCACGGGCCTTGCAGGAGGCTTGGGAGAGCGGGGAGAGTGGGGAGACGCAGCAGCAGCAGCAGCAGCAGCAGCAGCAACAACAGCAAAAGAAGAAGAAGGAGGAAGAGGGGGACGGGAAGGAGGACGTAGAGCAGGGGCGTGGAGAGAGGGATATGCTGCTGGGCAGATCAGGCACCCAGCAGAACGGCCACGCGGCCGAAACTTCACAAGTACCGTCCGCAATGTCAGCATCCCCAGTGCCACCGTCCCCACCACACCCATCATCAGTATCAACCACACTCACCACCCCAGCAGCAGCAGCACCACCAGCAGCAGAAGCAGCAGCAGCAGCAGCAACGGCGCACACAGCAGTGTCGAGCAGCAAGGTCCGGTCGTACGGCGACCTGGGCGACCGACTGTACGGCGCAGTGGGGCGAGTGGCGGTGGATGCCATGGTGCTGATCAGCCAGGGGGGCTTCTGCGCCGTCTTCCTCGTCTTCATGGGGCACAACGTGGCGAGTGTCCTGTGGGGGTCTACCAAGCTCTCCTCCCTCATAATCGCCATCATCGGTGAGTCCCGTCCCGTCCCGTCCCGTCCCGTCCCGTCCCGTCCCATGATCCCCTCATCAACGCCGTGCCGTGCCGTGCGTGCAAGAGTGTTCGTAGTTTCGTTCTGAAACGTCTCAAAACGAGATCACTCACGGGCTGTGGGGATCCACCAAGCTCTCCTCCCTCATCATCGCCATCATTGGTGCACCCCATCGTCCCATCGTCCCATCGTCCCATCGTCCCATCACCCTGTCATCCCATCGTCCCATCGTCTCATCATCACATCGTCGCCTTTCGAGCACAGTCTCTCCCATAGCGTTAGCCAGGGGGGCTTTTGTGCTGTCTTGCCCGTCTTGCTCATCTTGCTCGTCTTCATGCGTCACAACGTGGCGAGCGTGCTCCGGGGATCCACCGCGCTCCCCTCAATGAGCGCCGCGGCCATTGGTGAGTAGTCGCCACAACGTCTAGAGTGTGCTCACGGGGAGCACCCAACCCTCCTCCCTCATCACTGCTGCCATCGGTGAGTGCCATCGTTTCATTTCGTTTGGCTTGGTTTGGTTCGGGCTAGCCTCTGGGCTGTGCCCTCACATGCACACCGCTGTTCATGGCCCTCCCATGTGTCTGCACCATGTCATGTCATGTCATGTCATGGCATGGCATGGCATGGCATGGCATGCCCCCTTGCAGAATTGCAGTGTTCTGCATCGTCCCTGTCCCTTTCCAACTTTCTGTCATCGCTCCCTTCTGCTGCCTCCCTCCGTCCCTACGGCCCCACATGCGTTGCAGGTGATCTTTGGGACTTCTCAAAACATGTCCTTTTCCAGCGTTCTCTCATCTCTCCCTTCCTCTGCCTCCCCCCGTCCTCATGGCCCTATCATTGCTCCTCCGTGTGTGCATATCTTGATGTGTGGAAAACCCCCCTTTGTTTCGCTTTCCCTGTTTCTGTGCCCCTGTCTGCCTGTCCTTCCGTGCACCACCACTACCCATGCCACCACTACCCATGCCACCACTACCCATGCCACCACTGCCCATGCCACCACTACCCATGCCACCACTGCCCATGCCACCACTGCCCATGCCACCACTGCCCATGCCACCACTACCCACGCCACCACTACCCACGCCACTACTACCCATGCACCACTGCCCATGCACCACTACGCATGCACCGCTACCCATGCACCACTACCCATGCACCACCACCCATGCCACCACTGCCCATGCACCACCACCCATGCACCACCACCCATGCACCACTACCCATGCACCACCACCCTTGCACCACTACCCATGCACCACCACCCATGCCACCACTACCAGCCCCCCTCCAGATCCTGCTGTCGTGGCTACCGTCTCTCACCCACCTCGCTCCATTCAGGTGCGCTCTCTCCTACTACCCTCTCTCCACTGCTCACACCGTTTTCTTAGGCGTTCTAAAATCTGTTTTTTTAGGCGCGTCAAGAATCGTCTCAGCTTTTAAGGCGCTTTAATGAAAGAACGAAAAGAAAAGAAACGCAACAAGTTTTCCTCCCCTCACCGTGTCAAGTGGGCCTCCTCTCCCTCTCACCCTCGTCACTGCTCACACCGGTTGAGATTCATTCCACGCGGCAACACCCACAGCATGTTTTGAGACCCCTCGATTCAAAGCCCGTGCACGATTCAAAGCCCGTGCACGATTCAAAGCCCGTGCACGATTCAAAGCCCGTGCACGATTCAAAGCCCGTGCACGATTCAAAGCCCGTGAATGACTCATCTCATCCCACCCCGCAGCACCCCCACAGGCCACAGCATATTCGCCAGCGTGGACGACAACCTCCTCGCCAGCTCACTCTCCATCATCCTTGTTGGCCTCTGCTCCTTCTGCCCTCTTTCGCCCCTCCTCCCTACCTTCTCCCTCCCTCCTCCCTCCCTCCACCCTCCCTCCCTTCCTCCTCCCTCCCTCCTCCCTCCCTTCTCCCTCCCTCCTTCCTCCCTCCTCCCTCCCTTCTCCCTCCCTCCTCCCTCCCTCCTCTTTCCCGTCTCCCTTCATATTCTCATCTCTTCCAAGTCCCTTCCCTCCCCACCCCTCCCCACCCCTACCCGCCCTCCCCCACCCCTCCCCATCTCAGCATATTCGCTGACGTGGTGAACCTCCTCGCCTTCTCCCTCGTGGTCTTCTACGGGCTGCGCTCCTTCCAGGGCCTGCACTCCGTCTCCGCCTACACCACCCTCCGTGACGCGCCCTTTGCCTTTGGCGTCGCCACCTACGCGCTCAACGGGGCTGGGATGACCCTCTCCCTCGAGTCCTCCATGCGCCAGCGCGCCCGCTTCCCAGGTGTACTCACTGCAGGCCTCTCCCTCATCTCGTTAGTGTATGCCGCCGTGGGTACAGCCGGGTACTTCGGGTTCGGGAGCGCGACGGAGGAGATCGTAACCCTGAATTTGCCGCCCGGGTGGCAAAGCGTGGTTGTAAAGCTCGGGGTGTGCATTGCTCTCTTCTTTACCTTTCCTGTCATGATGACACCAGTGCATGAGATGGCGGAAAGGTACCTTTCCTCCTCTTCATACCTCCACCACCACTTCGTCTCTCACTCCGCCCCCCCCTCGCGCCGCCGCCTTTTCATCTGCTTCATTCGGACTCTGACGGTGCTGCTGATCGTGCTGCTGTCGGTGTCCGTGCCACACATCGGGGCCTTTATCTCCCTTATTGGCTGCAGCGTTTGCTCTGCTCTGGGGTTCGTTCTTCCTGCGTTGTTTTTTATGAAGGCTGCAAGAGGGAAGCTGGGGACTTCTGAGGTTGTTGGGAATTGGTGCTTGGCTGGGTTTGGTTTAGTCTTTGGGCTTTGGGGTACATGGAATGCGTTGAGGCAGATGCTTGTGTAGGAATTTTGTGAAATCGTACAATACAATATACTTTATTTGCTAAGTAGTAGTACCTTCTACTCTACATACATACGTACATACAATTCAATTTGATATGATGTGTCACGTGTGTACATGCCAGGGGAAACGTTTCTTTTATAGGCACCTTGAGGGTTCAGGGCAACCCCTAAAAAGAACACAGAACCCCTCACGGCAGGGCTAAGGAAGGAAACTGTTAAAGTAAGACCTGAATGAATAACTAGAAATGGAAACCTAGAACAAATACTAGTTGGTTGTACTCACTAGAAGCATACCTCAGTCTAGCCTATAACTTCTACATAGCTAATATGTATAAGTTGACACACCCCCTAGGCTAGACAAGGGGTGAAGCTAAGCAAGAAGCAAACAGCTCTGGGTGGCACTACTAGTCCAACCACTGAGGCAGGGGTCTGGAGACCAGTCAGCAAGAATACAAACAAAACTAAAGCAAGCCAGGGCGGCACTACTAGTCCAGCCACTGGAGGTAAGGCCACAAGGCCAGTCTGACAGGCATATATAATAGAGAGTACACAATCAGGATCCTAACAGGTGAGTAGCTACAGGAACAAGACCAAGCTGTACACAGTGCCGCTAATGATCTTTAGGCGCAAGCGCCTTAGTAAAGATATCAGCTGTGTTGGCACCTGAGGCCAAGTGAACTACGCGAGCCTGGCGGCGCTGCTGTAGCTCGCGCAGGAGGAAGTACCGCAGCTGGATATGCTTCGCTCTGCCCTCAAGCCGAGGCTCCTGACACAGGAGTATCATGGTCCTGTTGTCAGCGTACAGGACCGGGGCAGAGCTAGGCCGCTCACCTAAGTCTGTGAGCAAGAAGGTCAGCCAGCGGAGCTCCTGTGCCGCCATGGCACCAGCGTAGATCTTAGCCTCACAGCTAGACTGAGCCACAAACGACGAGCAAGTGGATCTCCAAGAGATAGCACCCGAACCAAGGCTAAAACAGTAGCCCTGTGACGACCTGAGCGTCTCAGAGTCGTCTGCCCAAGAAGCGTCTGTGTGCCCAGTAAGGACCACTGGCCTGCGTCCTCCTAGCACTAACCCCATGCCCGATGTACTAGCAAGATAACGCAAAACCCTCTTAGCGGCAGACCAGTGCTGAGGTCGATGTCTGCCTGTAGCCACAAAGCGAGCCAGGATGCTGAGAGGGTATGCGAGATCTGGGCGAGTGCAAGTCATCAGGTACATGAGGCAACCCACCAGCTTTGCATAGGGGCCACTGGGCTCTACTGGCTCCTGAGGAACGGGAGCGAAGAGCCCATGGTCTACAGGAAGAGGTGTGGGCTGTGCGGAGGAGAAATGAAGACCGAACCTCTGAAGGACCTGACGCACCAAGTGTGACTGTGTCAGAGTGATGGTGCGTGCTGCTCTGTCCCTAGAGATCTGCAGGCCAAGATAGCGACGCAGCTCTCCAAGGTCAGTGCAGGTGTGTCTCTTCAGAAGCTCGGCCTTCACAGAGGCCAGTGCATCCGTGTCAGCAGTAGCGAAGACCAGATCGTCTACGTAGACAAGGATGTAGAACGGAGTCTGGCCGGAACGCACAAACAGCGAGGGATCAGCAGAGGACGGAAAGAACTGCAGGTCTGCTAACGTGGCCCGCAGCGTGTCGTGCCACTCGCGAGGAGCCTGACGCAGGCCGTAGACCGGGCGCCTGAGAAGCCACTGGGTCCCAGGGGGGAAGGTACCAGTGAAGCCATGTGGTCGGCGCAGGTAGACCTGCTCGTGTAGGCTGCCCTGAAGAAAGGCAGTAGAGAAGTCGAGGGAGTGAAGCTCGCAGTCGCACTGTGCTGCTACATGTAGCAGCGCCCGAAGAGTGGTCATCTTCGGGGTCGGGGCGAAGGTCTGGAAGAAGTCAACCCCCTCTCGCTGACTGAAACCTCTGGCCATGTAGCGCGCCTTGAAGACAGGCAGCTCTCCAGGGGGGCGCTTCACCTTGAAGAGCCACCGACCATCGACTACATTCACCCCAGGCGGGGGAACTGCGTCGACGTAAGTGCCGGTGGACCTCCAAGATGCCATCTCCTGCTCCATGGCAGCTATCCACTGAGAGGCCCAAGGTCCCGAGGTGGCCTCAGCGTAGGTGCGAGGGGTCGGGATGTCGAAGGCGTCTGGGTCACCCTCAGGGACTAACAGCATGGAGCAGAGATGGGGAGCAGCCTCGGAAAGGAAAGCAAGCTCGTACTGTTGTCCTCTAGGACGTCACTGCCAAGGGCAGGAGCACCCCCGACGGACGGAGGACGGGCAGGGTCAGAGACCAGAGCGGTAGCGTAGTCAAGGCGGCGGGTAGAGGCGAAGTCAGTGACAGCAGCGACAAGCGCGTCAAGGCGCGAGACAGGAACAGCTGGGTCGGTAACAAGAGAGGCAAGGACCCGAGGGACAAGGGGAAGAGCGGCACGGAGGTAGTCAGAGAAAGGAGGAGGTGCAACAGCAAGGGACGAGGGAGGAGGGGACGGGAGGAGGGGAGGACGAGACGAGCGGGAACGGAGCAACATAGGGTGGGTGGGCAGAACAGGAGAGACGGGACGAGCACGGGAGGGACGGCGAGCCCAAACGTGAGACGAAGGTGTAGGCTCAGGGGACAGCGGAGGGGACACAGGAGGGGAACGAGGAGGAAGACGGGCCGGAGACGAGTCCGGTGGCGGGAACACTGGACTGTAGACAGGAAGGTCAGCAGGTGGTGGGGGAGACACCGGCGCGCGGTCCGGGGAGGGAAGGCCGAGCAGGCGGAGAGCGGAGACCGGCGGCGACGGCTGCTGCGGCTGCTGCGACAGCTGGGCCGGAACCCTCGGACCGGCAGAGGCAGGACGACCGTCGGCGGAACCCTCAACAGCAGCACCCCCAGAACCAACACCCCCAGAGCAAGAACCCCCTCCAACTCCAGCGGCACCCCCGGGAGCCGCAGGACGAACACCCTCCTCAACGCCAGCACCCCCAGAGGCCAACGGCGGAAGCGGCGGCGGCGGCTGCGGCGGTGGCTGTGACTGCGACTGCGGCGGTGGCTGTGACTGCGACTGCGGCGGCGGCGGCGACGGCGACGGGTGGAGGGGAGGACGAGACGAGCGGGAACGGAGCAACCTAGGGTGGGTGGGCAGGACAGGAGAGACGGGACGGGAGGGACGGCGAGCCCAAACGTGAGACGGAGGTGTAGGGTCAGGGGACAGCGGAGGGGACACAGGAGGGGAACGAGGAGGAAGCCGGGCCGGAGACGAGTCCGGTGGCGGGAACACTGGACCGTAGACAGGAAGGTCAGCAGGCGGTGGGGGAGACACCGGCGCGCGGTCCGGGGAGGGAAGGCCGAGCAGGCGGAGAGCGGAGACCGGCGGCGACGGCTGCTGCGGCTGTTGCGACAGCTGGGCCGGAACCCTCGGACCGGCAGAGGCAGGACGACCGTCGACGGAACCCTCAACAGCAGCACCCCCAGAACCAACACCCCCAGAGCAAGAACCCCCTCCAACTCCAGCGGCACCCCCGGGAGCCGCAGGACGAACACCCTCCTCAACGCCAGCACCCCCAGAGGCCAACGGCGGAAGCGGCGGCGGCGGCGACGGCGGCTGCAGCGGTGGCTGTGACTGCGACTGCGGCGGCGGCGGCGACGGCGACGGCAACTGTGGTAGGGAAGGCGGAGACACCGGGGAAGGGGAACGCGGCAGGGACGGGCCGGGGGGACCACCAGAGTCAGCAGACTCCTCAACGGGGACAACCGACAGGAGGGGAGTGACGTGAGAGACACCAGACCGGGCAGGACGAGGCGGGAGAGGAGCAGGGGCTACCGGGGGAGAGGGAGCCAGGAACAGGGGCGGGGCAACCGGGAGACCTCGGTGAGGGAAGCGGCGGTAGAAGGAGACAGACTCGTCAAAGGTGACATCACGAGAGTGGAGGAAGCGGTGAGACGGCGGGTGGTAGAAAAGCCAGTCAGACGAGTCCAGGGGAAAACCGAGGAAGACACAGGGGACAGTGCGGGCAGTGAGCTTGTCCGTGCCAGAGGCACGAACGTGAGCAAGGCAGCCCCAGACGTGGAACGCAGACGCGTTACCGGGGGACCCGGTCCAAAGGAGGGTCGGCGAAACCTGCGGCCGCTGGGAGCGTGGCCACAAGTTTAGCTGGTGAGCAGCGTAGCGAACAGCAAACGGCCACAGAAAATGGGGGGCATCGGCATGAATCATGGAGGTACGGGCGACCTCCATGACCAAGCCGATGCGGCGCTCAGCAACCCCATTCTGCTGTGGGGATTCCGGCAAGGTGTACGAATGGGTGATGCCCTCCGCACGACAGAACTGTCCAAGCCGACCAGAGGCAAACTCGCCGCCACGGTCAGAGTGGAGACACAACACGGGGAGACCGCGGTGGAGACGCGCAGCCACAACCCACAGGAGAAGAACGACGGGCACGCCGGCCTTCCGCTCCAGGGGAAACACCGTGGTATAGCGTGTGTAGTCGTTGACGAGCACAAGGAAGTAGTGCTCACCGCGCGGTCCGGGGACGGGGGCAGGGCCCTAAACGTCCAGGTGCAGGGTCTGAAGGGGGGCAGTAGCAGGGCACAGCGAGGAGGAGTGAGGAGCACGGCGAAGCCGACCCTCGACGCAAGGCATGCACAGTGGCGCAGTCGAGGGAGGAAGGGCAGGGAGCGACGCGGGGAGACCTAAGATAAGACCGTGCTGGGACATGTGACGTAGACGCGGGAGAGCAGGGTGACCTAAGCGGTGGTGCCAGAGAAGGGATGGGTGAGTGAGGGACCGACACGAGCAAGCTGCAGCGACCTGAGAGGACGCACCAACCGGGGGGGAAGCGGTGTCTAGGGTGAACAGACCGGACACCGGGTCCCGGGGGAACGTCGCAAGGGGGGAACCTGAGACAGGCTCTGAACAGACAGCGAACCGCTCGTGCCCGGGGAAAGTGGTGGTGACGCCGAGGTCCTGGAGACAGCCGACACCAACCAGGTTCCTCGAGAACGAGGGAACGTGGAGGCCTGTAAGGGAGCCCGAGGGAACTGCTGGACAGGGAAGGGACGTAGAACTGCGAGCGACGATAGGACCCGCAGAGGGGT